GGACTTTGGGCCTTTGTCAAATATCAGCTGCTCATAGGTGGATGAATTTATGTCTGGATTCTCAATTCTGTTCCACTGGTCTATGTATCTGTTGTACCAGTACCAGGCTGTTTTGACGACTGTGGTGGTATAATAGGTTCTAAAGTTGGACTTGTTTTTGTTGATACGTTATTTTGGGAATATTTTACGCTTTCATGTGGTGCTCACTATACAACCTATTTTCGACTGTGTGCCTGAGAAGGAAAAATAGGAGCAGGGTTATTTTTTTTTTGCCATAGGGTGGAAGGGCTTTGGCATTAACAAGGGTCTTGTTCTGACCAATTTCACTGCCTTCTGTGAGCAATGAACTGTGTCTTGTGACCAAAGAGGATACACTAGGTACAAAGGAGCCTTATAAAGGTACAGATGCTTCTGATACGGTGTGGGCTTTTCTCCTGAGGGGGTAGAACCAAATCCCTAGTTGACCTCAAGCTTGACTTTTAAGTTTAATGGATTAGAAAAATGGTGTTATAGGAGAACCTTTATTCTCTCATCTGCATATTTCAACAAGATTTCTGTTTTATTTCTGCAACATCACCAGGGGATCATCTCAGGTTCAGTTAAATACTCAGACGCAACAAGACCTTAATAGGCTATGCTTGGCATCAGTTTACTCAGGAAAATACAGGACAGGAACCATAAGTGGCCAGCAGGGCAGTGTCAGGCCTCCTTTCAAGAAGGCTTTGCAGCAGTCTGTGTAGCAGACCATCCACACAGCTCTCCAAGAACGATCATCTTCCCAGGTGACAGTTCAGGGTCTTCATGAGAGCATGCAGTTACAAGAGTTTCCACACTCAGGGAAGCCCAAAGCTGTGCCCTCCTATCAAGTATCTAGAGTTTTCCCAGTCTAGGTGTAACTTACTTACCAGTCAGGGGTCATTTTTAATAGAAGAAAAGTTGCCTGGAAATATAGGTGACACATGCCATTGTATCTAGTTTTCAGGGTAAGAAGAGCCAGTTGGTTAACTGAAGTCAGCAGGGGAAAAGATTTTGTTAGACCTTTGACCCTCAACTGCCTAGGAGGGGGAAGAGTACTAAAGAAAACAATTGTAGTTTCTTTCTCCGGAAGACAGACAACTGATCTTATTGATGAAATTGGTTTGTGCCTGTGATCCATCCACTGGGCTCAGTTTACTGGTGGTAGTGGGGAGAGTCACAGAAATAAAATAGCAATATGAAACCCTCTGAGCCTCCCTCTCTTGCCTATTTCCTCATGAACTGTCTGTGTTCAGGCAGAGTAAGCCTTGCACTTCTAATTTCCTTGTGGTTAGCCCAGTGCAGAACAGGGATGGGAAGGAAAGAGAGCAAGTGAGAACTGGGCCACATTTCTCCGGTTTCTCACACTGCCAGTGAGTAGATTAAGATGGCTCTACCTGCAGGCCTGCGTATCTACAACTGGGTATGATTAGGTGGAAGGCTTTGATGAGTTCTCCAAGCTAGCCTTCTCCAGAAAGCTGGTTCTGTGTATCTTCACCAGGATGTATGTTAATTTCTCACCTAAAGCCTCCTTCTACCTATCTCCAGTCAAATAAAACTGCTAAGTGATATTCTCACCTAACTCCACTGAATGATACTCTTAGCACAGCAAAATTCATATCATGGTACCTTCTTTGTGTCTAATATTGAACTCTTTCATGGTATAATTTAAGAAGTTTTCCTTTTAAGATTGGTCACCCTCTACTACAAAACCCGTTACATACATTAGAATTTTCTTTTTCTTTTATTTCTTAGGCTTGAAAATAACCCAAGAGTAATTAAAATTTGGGAAAGGAGTCTACTCAACCAAGTGGATCACTGCTTTTATTTCATCTTTACTATGAATTTTGGATAAAAATGCAGAACACAATCTAAGTTAACATGTAGAAAAATAAAATTTTGGCAAAACAAAAACTGTTTAGGGAAATTAAATTGTATACTTAGTAAATTGTATACTAGTATTTTCCTTAAGCACTTAGCAGTGAAATATGCTACAGATATCACATTCTAAGAAGTCAGTCCCATGGTTATAAAAAAAATTTAAGTTAATTTAATGAAATTTACAGTGCATACTGAAAGCATGATACAAATGGAAATGTAAATTTTTGTATTAATAAGGAAGCCCAGTTTGCTAAAAGTAACATTAGTATCATTCACATCAGATTTTGTTATACATCTTTGTAGTTTAGCAAATGCCCTTAATAATGAAAAGCAATTAAAAAGTGTTATTTTTTATTTAGGACAAAAATAATTTGGCCTATGTAAAAAGGGGGGAGGACCAAAAGATTTCTTGTATGTATATTTAATTCAGATACATAGAATTTTCATGAATTTAAGAGGAAGGAAATATTTAAACACTAATAGAAAATTGCTAGTCATTTGTTTGTTTAAATGTTTATGTAACTCTTCAATCCGATTTTATAAAACTGAAACTTTGAACACAAACAAAAGCAGCAAAGTTCAAATTTTCTTTTATATGTTCCTAAGTATCAAATTGCATCAGTTTATTATGACTTAAATTTGAAGAACACCACAGATTTAAAAACAAGAGTACAGAAGTGCCTGATTCGTTTTAATTCCACAAATACCTAGCATCCCAAAGTAACACATAAACAAACCTCTATGCTGCTCAATGAATTATTTCCAATCTCTACAATAACCTAAATGGTATCAGTTCTAATATATGAATTTTATGTAAGTTATGGTTTCATTCATTACTTTGTATTACTGACGTAGCAAAGAGGGAAAATTTCCAACTACTGTATGTATTTAAAACAAATTGACAGGTTCAAGAACCTATCTTTAGAAAAGCCAGCAGCATTTCTTAATATACTCAAAGTAAGATTTGGCCTAAGCCCTTAATACCTTCCTGGACAGCCATGCAACTAAACACCCTTAGGAGATGCTGCGTAAGGGAGAACAACATAGAGCAATTTGCACTTTTCCCCCTGGATAACAGGAACAAGGTAAAGCAACTCCAGATCTTTTTCAATGAATGGCTGTCATGTTTAAAACACTGAGCTCTATAAAACTAGAGCCACTGTCATATATGCTTATATAGATATATACTTATTATTTTTTAATAAAGTCTTGCTTGCTTCAAAATTTAAGGATGATCTTTTTCCTGGTCAGTCACTTCAAGGGAACAATAAATAAAGTAGAAAAGGATGAACTGTTTTGCATATTTCTGTGGAAGAACGGAAAACATTTATACTTTGAGAGGTTCAGAAAATTCACTGTACAGAATGAACAGCTTATTTACACTATATGTGCAATTTTTCTTGGCTGGGGTATTTAAATGCAAGAGCTCCTCCAAGACAAGAAGCCACATTCATTCTTGTCCAAATCCCTCTGTCTCTTCTATTGCAAAAAGAAGCTTTTCCTTTAGTTGTTCATAACTCTTATATGGTGGTAGATCCAAGCGATTAAAACTGAACAGAAACAAAAACAAAATCAGATGTGTTTTCAATAAAACAAACTCTGAAAAGATTTCTAATACAGTATTTTTAAAGCATATTTGAAAAACTGGATGGAGGAATTATGCTATGTAAAGTTCTGCCAGAAGTATTCTAACAATTAATTTACTACTATAATATTACTTAACTAGTATAATATTAACATATCCTAATTTCTGATAGCAGTCTATTCAAATTTAAGATCTATACATAAAATGGATTACAAATAACAATTGTAGCAATGTGGGTAAAGACTCTGGAATTTAAAAAATCATGAATTTTCTTTTTTATACTATTTCTGCTTACGTGGTGTCATGAATCCTTTTAACTTTTCTTGGGTTAAAAGTGTTCCATTCTTTCAGCAGTGATTTAAGAACACCTATTATATACCAGGTATTGTTCCAGTAGCTGTTGACAGAGTGATGAAAAATTAAAGTCCCTTTCCTCATGGAACTTACATTCTGGGGTGGAGACAGTCAATAAACAAATATGTACTTTTCTTTGTCTTTTCAAATAATCTCATCATATGCATAACCTCTACTAAAACGATACTTTTTCAATCCTACCAGATCAAAGAATTCCCTTCCAGGATTAACCAATGAGAAATAGAAAAATATTGAAAATACTTAAAATACCAACGTATTATTTTTTAATTTACAAGGTGGAGTAACATTTAATTTTGTGAGACACAGCACTGAGTAGATGGACTAGGATTTGCGTGACCACGGTTTTGGTCCCCACTCTATTAGTGGCTAGTTAAATAGCTCTGAGCAAGTCAGAACCTTTCTGTACCTTCATTTTCTCATCTGGAAGATTTCTGTAGATTATCCAGGTTCCCTCTTACCACTCCTGCCACTTCCCATTTGCCACTGCCTCACTTCAGTGTAAAAGTCTATAAACTCTAAACCTAAAATGAAACCTGAGAATTAAACGCCTTTGAAACAAGGCAGCCAATTAAAATGGTGTCCTTCTCCGGCAGTGACACGTTATGAAGAGGTTAAAAGCACTTTTAAAGAAGTCAGATATATTAATGGTAGCAATTAAACAGACCATATATTACCCTCCCCATTTTACATTTTTAAACTCATGCTTCAAGGCAGAGTCTGATAGTTAGCTGAGGTCAGGAAAAAATTTCATTTTTCAATAATCCTATACTAAGACAAAGAGCCCTGGTGGCATAGTGGTTAAAGCACTCAGCTGCTAATCAAAAAGTCGGTAGTGAACCCACCAGCCACTCTGTGGGAGGAAGATGTGGCAGTCTGCTTCTGTAAAGATTTACAGCCTTGGAAACCCTATGGGGGCAGTTCTACTCTGTCCTACAGGTTTGCTATGAGTTGCAATCGACTTGATGGCGACAGGTGTGGGTTTTTGGTTTGGTTTTACACTAAGACAACCAGTCACTTTCTAGTTTTCTTACATCTTTTACGTACGGCCTTTGCTAAATTCTGTCATTGCATTCACCAAATCTCTCCCATCTTTTCCCTCCTGATTTCTTTTGCCACTATATTCTTGTGTATATACTTCCTCATCATCTCTTATCTGAACTATCACAAGAATTTTCTGTCTAGTCACCTTGCCTCCATTTTTTTAACCCCTCCATAACTTGTCTAGCCTTACATCACTGCCAGAGGTACATTCCTAAGAAGATACAAGCCGATTTACGTCACTCTTCAAAAATCTTTGCTGCCTTCCAATTGCTACTGGGGGGCAGGGGAGAATAAAAGCCTATGTATGCTCTTTAGTATAGCCCCCCATCAACTAATTGAATGTTCTCCAAGCATGTTACACACTTTTCTAAGACCATGCTCTTGTGATTCTCCTATGGTCTGGAATATCCTTTTTTGCCTATGAAAATCATCAAGGATTAGTTTAAATGGCACTGCTTCCTCCAAGAGGTTCTTCTTGAGCGTCTTACGTAGACTTAATAACCCCCTCTTTATCTATGAGCTCTTTTTATTTTTATCATAGCATTTACTTTACTCTGTATTATGACTGATTGGCTTGTCTCGTTAGATTCTAAAATCTATGAGGGCAGAGTCGTCTCTTTATTCCCACAACACTGATCTCTCTGCTTTCCATACAGCAGATGCTTAGTAAACGCTGAGTTGAACTGAATAAGAAAGCAGATTACTTGAAAACACCCAAACAGGGCTCTGTTTGAAGACAGTAATCATTATGTTTTCTGCTGGTTTGTAAAAGGACAGAGACATACTAAAATGCATTTATCATTTATTGAGTACTTACTGTGAATATCAGAATACTGTACTCGTTAAAGCTTTTAGTTCTAGCTTTTTGAGTCTGATTTGTGTATGTGTAGACGCACAAAATCAAATTTGTGACTTCTTTCTTAACTATAAAATAGAAAGAGACTGACCAATACATGTCCCACGTAGCCTGAGGGCAGAGTACCCTGTGGCTTGCTATACCACTGTACAGAGCCTGAGGAACCTCTGCCCTGAGGGCTGCCACCTCACTAAGCAAAGCACTGGACAGGACAGCTGTCGGGTCCTGTGCCCTTCTTTCCTCTGAGAATCATCAAGACCAACTTTATCACAGATAGTATCACAGCTTACCTTAGTCACTGCTAAAAATGCAAGTCTTTTTGGATCATCCATTTTCACCCAAACACTCATCCCAGTACTGATCTGTATTTCCCTGATCTGAATGAAATCCCCACTCCTATGCTCCATCTCAGATCTTTCCAATTTGTTCTTTTAAACTCTGATTTTGTGATTTACAGTCTCCAACAGTTGTAACAACTCTTCCCTCTCTTGTCTTAACCGAAATCTGGCTAGTCTGAAACATACAGATTCTCCTGCAGCCACTCAACAAAACTCTCCTCCTCTGAGGCACATACCATCCAGCTATGCAACCTTCTTTCTGAACTTTTTGCTATCTTCTACTGACCTCTTGGTCACATTCTTACAGAACTGAAAGCTTTGGTCCCTGGTTCATCGACTCCTCTCATTCTCGTGCATGGTGTGCAACTCCACGGCCTCCTAGTTCCTTGTCCTTTTCCTCTCCAGTGACCTGTTTCTCTATTTTTCTTCAGTTATTGACCCCAGGATCATACCTTGAACCTTGCCATCACCAGTGAAGGAAACTTCTAACTTAAAAATCCTATTTTCTGACCATCTGTGCTTTCAGCTTACATCAATTAAAATGCCAAACTATTAACCCATTACTTTCTCACCATCCTATCTTTAGCCTCTTCCTCACCTCTTTCTTTATTCACAGTCCATCATTTTAGTTACTTTAGAGACCATGGCTCATCATTATAATAGCTACTTTACAAATGCTTTTAAATACCATGTGTCTCTCTCTCCCTCTTTTAAACTTACTAGGCAAAACTCAAACCCTGAATGAATTCAAGCTTCTATCTCCTCTTTCCTTGCATCTTAACAGCTGAAAATTGCTGGGGGAAAAATCATACAATTAGGAGGTTGGCACCACTTTAAATGAACTACTAAATCCAAGTGGGCAATCCAATATTGCCCAGCATTCTTCGCCATGTTTCTCTAGTAAACACTGGCCTAATCTCTGATGACTCTCCCATTCTTTCTCCTCAAATTTTTTTCCTTAACTCTTAGACCATGACTTCATATTATACTTTAACAAACCAGAAACCAGCAGATGATAACTCTATTTTCCCCTGATAAAATCTAAAGCCTATCTATAGTTTACACCCAACTTCTCCTTGTCTCCTGTTATAACAAAGAAAGTATTCCCGTTTCTATCAAAAGCCACTTCCTTAACTTGTACTCAGAATCCCAATTCTTTTCATGTTTCTTTGGTTATTAACTTTCTCCTGTCCCCCACAATTTCTCCCTCTCTTTTGGATCCATTACTTTAATCTATGCCAACAGTTGTCCAATTTTTTGGTCTTGGGACCCTTTTCACTCTTAAAAATTACTGAGAACCCCATGTGGGTTTCATCTATTGATATATAGTATGTTAGAAATTAAAACTGACATATTAAAAAATATTTATTAATTCATTTTGGAATAAAAATAACTTATTTTTATGGGAAAAAAAGACTGTTTAAAAAAATAGTGAAAAGGTGGCCTTATTTTATATTTTTACAAATCTCATTAATGTCTGGCTTAATAGAAGACACTTAGACTCTCACAGCTACTTCATTCAATCTGTTGCATTATATTGTTTTGGTTTGAGTATATGAAAATCTAGCCCACATACATACACAGTTGGAAAATGGAGAAACATTCTAATCATCTTCTGAGGTAATTGTTTACTCTACTAAACTTGACAAGGTTACTTACAATGTGGATTCTGAATCATATCAAAGAACATTTTTTAATTTGTTACATTAAAATCCATTGCTCTATCTTGCACTTTGAATGGTTCCTTTCTTTTCTACGCATGCATGATTTTGTAACATTGTACATTGGAAATTTCAAAATACTAGTTCTCCAAATTATAAAGATTTTCCAAATGTTGACATATTTAATTATATAATAGAAAAAAGAAATCATAGTTGTTAACACTACCAATCTCATCAGAAAAGTCTTGGGAAGCTGCCAAGGTAAGGGAAGTACATATCAATTTCCCCAAATTCTAATTTTTACTTGAAAGCTCAACTTATACCACTGCCAACAAATACTGTCAGTTTTTCCCTTGAAGTGACAGGCTTACTTCATTAATTTTCAAAAAAATGTCTGTCAGATATCAAAGTCTGAGTCTCTCTGTCAGTCATTCTTTTAAGAAAAAATAATGTTCCATAAAAAAGCTAGTTCATTTTTCAACTTGCTCAACTGCCTGAGAGCTTTCCCTCCAGACAACTCTCAGCTCTGGCGAGAAGTGCTTTATGTGTACTTCCCATTTTGTGTCACACACAGAATATGAAAAGGACATATACCAAGCATTGAGATTGAATAAAATTAATCATTTTTACTACTTCATAAAAAACAATCTTTCAGTGAACCTGGCTTTTTTCATTTTAAACTGGAAGTGTGTGGTGGTGAAGAATCCAGAAATAACTGTTTGGGTTACTACCTTGATCTGTGCCAAGACACCAGCAGTTTTACCCACTATTGCTTCTGCACCATAAACGCAAATGTCAGCATACAAGAACCACTGATCTCTAGGCCATCAGCATCTTTTGCCTGCATAACTGTACTAGCTCTGTAACTAATCTCCTTGCACTTGCTTTTTCATCCAATTCCTTCTCTACACTGCTGCCACAGTGATTTTTCTTGGATCCTATTGCTATTTAAAACCCTTCGAAGGGTTCCAATTGCCCTTAGAATGAAACCCAAATTCCTCATAATATCCTACAAGGCTCTACATAATTTAACCCCTGCCTAGATTTCAACTTCGTCTCATGCCCTCTCCTCTGATTCATGAAGTTCCAGTTACACTAGTCAACTTTCATTTCCTTGAAAAACTATTCCCACTTCAACAGTCTTTGCAAATAACCCTGCACAAAGAATGCTCTTCTCCCATTTCTTTCCACAACATGCTGTTTATCAAACTCAACTTAAACATTACCCCTTCGGAGAAGTCTACCTGACCACCCAGTCTATAGCAGGTTCCCCCAGCTGCTCTCTATCACAGCATACTGTTTATTTCCTTGGAAGGACTTCCTAGAATTTGTACATAGTTATGTGTTTACCTCTTTATCATTTGTGTCCCCATCAGGGCACACAAGCTTTGTAAAAGGCAGGGAGCACCTTCTATCCTGCTTTATATATAGTGGCTACCTGATAAATATTTGTTGAATCAGTAGATATATTTCTCAAATACTTCCATTACTCAACTAGAAACCACTCTAAAATGTTAAGTTACAGAATGCAGTATCAATCATTCTGTTGTCAAAAGTGAAATTCTGACTTTGTTAATGAATAACTAGTTATACTGGACCTTACGTATTTAAAAAAATAACCAATCCTCTTTGCCTTATACCTTCCTATTTAGGATTCTTGAACTTACCACGTGTGGCTTCTTGGTAACCAGGTGTCTTTGCCAACTTTTTCAATGCAAAATTTTTGAGGCCCATTACTTCCTAAACCAGGAAAATAAGACAAAATTTATCTGGTCCTTCAAACTTTTTGATTTTGACAACTAGTTAAATAACATGTCACAGAGTCATATGAATGATACAGAATAAACTAAATGTGAGTTACTTCTAGACTGCTGCACAGACCCAGCAGTAAGAATTGTTATCAGTAGACAAATAACTCGACAGATTCTTGCTCCCTTCCCAATAACCCCAGGAAGCAAAGCAATGGCCAACTGGGCTATGTGAGGAGAATTTTATTTCTGTCTTACAAATGCATTTGACATTAACCATTCATATGTCCTTCTTCTGGTAGATGCCCTATACAGAGCACAGAAAAATAATCCTTAGGTTCAAGTCTATCATACGTCAAAAGGCCACTATTATTACAAAATTATCTACAGAGAAACTGTAGGGAAACCGCATCCTACCCATGAGCTCAGCAAATCCTCCTAGAGGTAAACGGCAGGTTCCAGTGACAAACTGCAAAAGTCGCATTCTTACTTCATTGTCTGTCTCTTTCACAAACTGTGTAATAAAATCAAACTTATTTTAATATAGTATCTTGAATAATAAAAAGTAGACGACACTTAAAAAAATTAAAAAATAATATTCAACTTGAAATTGGTTCAAAAGACATGATAAAAAGTCGCCACAGCATTTATCATTTATTAAGGCTAGGCACTGTGCTAAGTACATTACGAATCTTACTTCAATGAATCCTCACACCAACACTGTAGGCTGGCCACAATTATTATTACATCCCTCTTACAGAGAGGATATATGAGTTGGAATCTACTTGATGGCAACAGGTTTTTTGACGGAGGATATGGAGACTTAGAAAGGTTAGGTCACTTGCCTGAAGTCATACCACTAAGAGGTGGAGCCAGGATAGATAGTGTTGGGTTATAACAGCTATCACCTATTAAGGGCTCCTGCCAAGCACTGTGCCATATCCTTTTCATTTTTTCAGTCCTCACAATTCTATAAGATAGGCACTATTACCATTATTCCCCACTGTACATATAAGGAAATGGAGGCCTAGAAAGGGTAAATAATTTGTTCTCAAACTACTAAGTGGCAGAACTAGGATCTGAACTCGTCTTCCTGAGCTCTAAACCACTGTTATCCTGCCCTGAACCAACCATCCCCATCCTCTTGAAGCTACTGAAAATAAACAAACACCTCCCCATTTTGTGGTATTTTCTCCCACAAATCCCATTCTCCCACTTCTTTATGTACTTCATGACTGGTATTTGAAAACCCAAAGTACACATTCCTCTAAAAATATCTAGTTCATTGACTAGTTCTTTTCAAAGAGGGACATAAATGGGTGGATAATGTGGTGAAATACTGATTTGAATTGTTCAAGTATTATATACATCTTACAATTCGAGAGACAGCTAGGTCTGAGTATCTTATAACAGAAAAAAGAAACTCAGGGAGCTTTCTGGGAGTAGAAATCTAACTTAAAAATAGGGAGTAACTTATAAGGATAAGAACAAAATGCTATGCTAAACATGACCAAAAATGTTTCAGTCTAGAATTGTGCTAAGGCACATATTTCATTAAGACATAGAAACAGAGGTTACCAGGTCTGCCATAAACCTCATCACTTTCCTCTTAAAACAAACCCAATTCAGAAAGCACAATCATTCATTTGGATTTAGACAACTCTTAAACCTAAGCTCCTAAGGTTTATAAATACAATGTCCAAACGGGAAGTCAGGGAACACAAATGAGTAATGGAGCTAGTAAAGAGCCTAGAAGGGGAGATTACCAACACCTGCACAAATACTGTATGCAACGCAAGTCAGGTTTTAGGCTTGAAAGTGGATTTGTTCCTATCTTTTTGCTTATTTATTTACTATTTATTTTTTACAATAGATAATAGATGTACATAGTATGGAATTCAAAAGGTAATAAAAGGGTACAGAGTGAAAATCGGCTTTCCCATCTTTGCCTCCAACTGCTCAGCTCCTCTCTGGAACTGTTGCCAGTTGTTTGGTTATCTTTTCAGAGATGGTGTATTCATTAACTAGCACACACTCTCATATACAGATTACAAATCTTCTCTTTAACCAAATGCCATCATATTATACACACTGTTTAGCACCTTCCATTTTCCCCGTAATACTGTTTTGAAACATATTATTCTCCCATACTTTTGTTAACTTGCATTAAAAAAAAAAAAAGGAGAAAAGAAAAGGAATGACTACCAGGTATAGAATTTATATCTATCATTTATTTACCCAGTCTCCTCCCGATAGATATTTAGGTTGTTTCAACTCTCTGTTGTACGCACATAATGCAGCAATAAATACTCAGACACGTGTCACCCTGCACATGTTGAGGGGCGTGTGTGTGTGTGTAGATATATACATGTTAAATTTCTATATGTCCACACTTCTTTAAAGTATTAAGCAATAAACTCATGACATATATCCTTATAAAAAGATGCAACTACTGAAAATCCTCCTGTAGTGATACAAAACCTAGGCTTGCTTTCCACCGGAAAGTGAAGCAGTTAAGCAGACGGAAACCAAAAGTTCAGTCACTAAGTTGCTGAAATGAATCTCAATTAGTAGCAGAATATTTATGTGAAATACATTTGTGGCTTAGAGATTTTAAATTCTCAAAAAAGCAAACAAAAAAACCCAAATCTATTAAAATAAAATGTGATTCGAAATTAGTATGGAGCACTTGCTTTCTTTGTGTTCAAGTCAAAACAAAGATAATAAAAATACATAAATTCATCCTTAGGCATTAACTCCCACATTATTCTAATTCCCTAGCATATTATCCCCTTCAGAAGAATTAAGTACCTGCATTTAGGTTCTTGTTAAAAACATACTTCTCCAGGCTTCCTCATTTACTTCTAGAATTAACTAAAATTTACAGAATACTTTGATACCACTAGAAAATATGCTATGCCTACAATTATTACCATTAAACTATTACTTAAAGAAGAGTCTCCCATTCATTTCTTCATTTAGAAAGATAAATCAAAAAAGGCAATGGAGAATACAATGGAATAAAAGTATTGACATATTCACTTCTGATTTTGACTTGAAAGACTACAAACCATGACTAAAGGCTGTCTTCATTTAAGAAATAAACTATTTTTTAAACTATCATTTCATGAGAGCACATTTTCCTTGAATACTTGTTTCAAAAAGATAAAGGCAAATACCTGCCAAAACCAAATGATTTGTTTGCTGTTTCTTGTATAATGTCGATAAACAGTATTTCTTTGCCAGTCTGCCAAGTCAACCTCCTGCATGCCACACAACATAACCTGGGAAATGAGCACATTATTAGGCCACAGGAAAGATCTGGTGAACAGAATAATTTTATGACTGAAATTCTCTAATGCACAGCTATGCACATAGCATAACTATATAAAGAGCTGTGTGCACTACAATGACCAGTCATCAAATGCAACATTTGGGGCAAGTTAGCATAAAGAGTTCTTTGGTATTTTATCTTCATTGAACTCAAACCAAAAGCAACATTTACAGTAACTATGTTCTTTAAGGAAAATATTAGTTGTACTGAAAAGCATATCTCTTAACTATAAACATACTCCAAATTGGTATCCAAACTCCTGATGACTTCAAACATAAATCTGTGGCTCTTTTTTTGGGCAATCTATGCTAAATTATATATTTAAATATTAAAAAATACGCTAGCCTTCTATTTACCTAGACTATTTGGGAATAAAATACGCTACATACGTGAAATTTTCAAATAACCTCAATAATATAGGATAAAAACTAGTTTAGGTATAATCAAATACATAATGCCTATTTCTTATTTGTAAATTCTTTTCATAAATCAACTTTAAGCTATAATTTACATACAATAAAATGCACATATTTCAAATATATAGTTAGAGGAGTTTTGATAGATGTATACAGTCACCATCACCACAAAATATACAGTATTTCTACGATGCCCCTTTGCAGTCAATTTGCTTTCTTCCACTATACATTAGATTTGTCTTTTTAAGATAGTCATGTATATGCATACATACATACATACATGTATTGACAATACATGTGTGTCTGTACACGCATGTGCATGCATGCAGGCCCGTGCGAGCAGGCCCATGTGTGCACACATGCACACATTTCTATTTTTTTCCCACTCAGCCTGTTTTGGAGATTCATCCATGTTGCTGTATGTAACAGTAGTTTGTTCTTTCATATTGCTGTGCTGAGTAGAATTCCATTATATGAATATACAACAATTTGTTTATCCATTTATTTGTTGATGGACATTTAGGTTACTTTCCATTTTTGTCTTTTATGAATAAAGTTGTTTTGAACAGTCATGGATAAGTCTTTGTATGGACACGTTCTCATTTCTCTTGGGTAAATACGTAATAGCGGAACTGCCAGGTCATAAGGTAGATGCATGTTTAACATTGTAAGAAACTACCAATACTACCCCAAAGTGGTTATCTCATTTAGTTTTAATTGGCATTTCCCCAATGACTAATGCTGTTGAGCATCTTTTCATGTGCTTACTTGCCATCTGTATATTTTCTTTTATGAAGTGTCTGTTCAAGTTTTTGTCCATTTAAAATATTTTTTTTTTATTATTGAGTTATAAGAGTTTTAAAGATATATTTTGGATACCATATTCTCCTAGTCTGTATACAAGCTGCTTGTTCATTTAGTTAAGTGTTTTCTGAAGAGCAAAAGTTTTTGGTTTTGATGAAATCCAATTTATCCATTTTTTTTTCTTTTATGGTTGCTTTTCGTGTTCTCCCTAAGAAACCTTTCGCCTACAAGTTTTTCTCCTATGTTTCCTTTTTAACTTTCATATTTAGGTTTATGATTCATGGTAAATTAATCTTTGTTTAAGGTATAAGATAGGGATAAGGTTCATTTTCCTCCATATGGATATCCAGCACAATTTGTTGAAAATCAATGGATAGCATATGAGTAGGTATATATTCCTGGACTCTCTACTCTATTCCACTGATCTATTTGTCTATCTTTTCACAAATACCACTATCGTAATTACTATGGCTTTATAATAAGTCTTGAAATCAGGTAGGGTAAATCCTTCAAGTTTGTACTTTTTCAAAATTGGCTATTCTAGCTCCTTTGGTTTTCTTATAATTTTATAATCGGCCTGTCAACTTTTACAAAAAGTTCTGTTGGTTGTTGATTGGGATTGTGCTGAAGCTAACTGAGGAGATTTGGAGAGAACTGACATCTTTAAGAATACTGAGTCTTCCAATCCATAATGGTACATCTCTCTCCATTAATCGAGCTCTTCTTTTTATGAGCAATGTTTTTAGTATAGAGGTCTTGCATGTCTTTTGTTAAATTTGTTTGTTTTTTGATGCTTTAGTAAATGAAATTTAAAACTTCCATTTCCAAGTGTTTGTTACTAGTATATAGAAATAAATGGATTTTTATTATTGACCTTCTACCCTGAAGCCTTGTTAAACTCACTATTATTTTTAGTCGTTTTTTGGTAGATTCCTTAGGATTTTCTAAAGAAGCCCTGGTGGTGCAGTGGTTAAAGTGCTCAACTGCTAACCAAAAGGTCAGCCATTTAAAATCACCAGCAGCTCTGCAAGAAAGATGGGGCAGTCTGCTTCCATAAAGATTTACAGCCTTGTAAACTCTATGGGGTTGCTATGAGTCAGAATCGACTTGACGGCAGTGGGTTAGAATTTTCTAAGTTGACAGTCATGTTGTCATCTGAGAATAAACACAGTCTTACTGCTTTCCAATCTTTATGGTTTTTCCTTCTTTCTTTTTTTCCTTATTGCAGTGGTTACAGTCTCTAGTATAATTCTGAAAAGAGGTGGTGAGAATGGACATCTTTGCCTTGTTTCCAATCTCAAAGGGAAAACATTTAATATAACCTCACACTATTCTTCTAATGTGTTTCTGCTAATTTGTGTAAGCAAGCTAGTAAAAAGATATTAACCAGGTTTAGGGAGAGTCTACACATCCATCAGGTTCAGAGTCCTTTTCAGTCAGAGTTGCCAGAAGGCTAATTTCTACAATAGGAATATTAATATATAAAATTTTAAAATGTTACTTTTTTATATACACATTTGATTACATGAATGAACCAAGTCTTAACAGAGGACTCAAGACAGCTAAAGTCAAAACAGTGTACCCAAAGGGGACCAAGGACTATCCCAACACCTGCCTATGTTCTAATCTATTTGGGAAAAGAAGACCTCAAGGATTCCTGAAATAGCCTAAACAAGTCCAAATAGAAATTCTGATCTGAGTCAACTGACTACTAAATGGGGATTTCAGAAAGTTCCCAGAATCACACTTTAATAGGGTCCCACGCACTCTAAATGAACCCTAACAGCTGGCACTGATTGATGATTTTGCGTACATGACATCATCGTAACTCAGAGAACTTTAATCAGGACCCCCATCCAATAGCTACGATTTTAATATCCTCTAAACATTTGAATGAATGAGAGGATTCAAGATTGTGCCACATGATTTAAAAATGTGTAGACAGTCTTCTGAAAAATCACAAAAACAACTTCCCCCCTCATTAACGTTCCCTACAATAGCATAATAAAAGAGCCTAACCTCTAATTCTTTTTCATCAAAGTACTGCAGCCATTGAAGGGGAACAACTTCATTAAAGCCATCAAGGAAAGCTTTGGTCTGTTCTTGCACTCCTCGAGAAAAACGCCATTCTGTCATTAGACTGAAAATAAAGAAGGTATTTTAAAATAGGTAATTTGTATGTGAAAGCTTAGAAATACCAAGGAGTTCTAAAATTCATTCTTTTTTCTAAATACACCATACCTACATATACATACATGTGTATGTATGTAATTTTAGCATTAACACATGCTTCTACATAGGAAATCAGTTATAGCACTTAAGTAGCTATAAAAAAAGGTTTTTAAAATAGATAGGGGGTCTTTATTTGCTGGTAAGACAGCTAAACCCTAGCACTGATTATTACCTGTTCATACCTAGAGAACTCCAAATATCATGCACTGACAAAGGAAGGAAATGCCTACAGTTATTTAGCAGGCTCTCTCCCCACCAAAAAGCAGTTTGCCAAGGGAGACCTGAGGATTCTAACAGCCTTCCATACCAGGAAAGCAAGGGATTGCCTCAATAACATAATATGTCTATGAGTCATATGCTTGCAAAGATTTATCATGTCTTTACTTGAGAAGGCATAAAGGTGGAGAAATGGTTCTTTATAGGCTGGTTTATTGGAGAACATGAAGAGTCCCTAACCAGAACAGAAGAAATTAATTTATACCTCCTCAGAAGAAACATTTGGAGGACACAGAGAAAGCAGGTGTAGAGAAGTATGATAAAGTAGAAGTAAGGAATAAAATCTGTCAGTGACACAACACCTGTATGAGGAGCTTCCCAAAGAAGACAGATCTGGAGGACCTGGAGGAACAGTACACACGACTTGACCAGGAGAAGTCACAGATACTAGCAGGTAACCAGAAAGCTAAGTTAGCCATGCATTCTCCATTTGTAACTTCTCTTCTTGTGTCCTAGAGGTAGCTGACCTCATTCATTTCTGAGGCAAACCTTTCAACCTGTATGTTTTATTATATATACCTCTTTTTGCTGGCTCCAAAATTTCTCTTCTTCAATTACCAACCCGCTTTTGCCTTTGCCCCATACCCTCCACTTGATCTTCCTACTCCTCTTTCCATTTGCCCACAAGGGTGCTCAGACCATTCCTTCCTAAAACTAACTCTCCCCTCAACACACTGTCTTTTCAACTACTGTCTTTCCTCCTATGAGAAAAGTACTCGATACTCACTTTCTCCACATTTTCACCTTCTATTCATTCAATTTTTAAAGCCACCATTGTTTGGCTTTCAAAATCCTATCCTCCAGGAATAAAAAAAACTTTCCTCACAAATGTCATCAAAAAACCTCTAACTGCCAAGCCTGAATCCCTCTTTCAGTGCTCATGCTACACGAACTTCCTTTAACACCAGACACTAGCACTCCCAACTCACACATAAATCCTCCCTGACCCATCAGTACTACTATTCCTGATTTGGTGTTGGCTACTCCTTCTTTGGCTTCTAGTCTGTAAATGCTTCTGTCACTCAGATGTCTGTCTTCTCTTCTAGCTATACACTTGCCAAAGATGACATTATCAACTACCAAAGTTTTAACTATCACATAAAAGCTAAGAATTTTTCAATTCCAAAATTTTGCTTCCCTCTTGAGATTAAGGTATTTATAGGTCATCGCTCCTTGGATATCCTGCTAACACATCCAACTGTCAACCAATCCAGAATCTTCAATCATCAAATATTTCATTTACTATTTTTTTCCTCTGGGAGTTTTTGGATGGTATAAATGGTTAACTGCTCAACTACTTGCTGAAATACTGGTGGTTTGAACCCACCCAGAGACATCTTGGAAAACAGGCCTGGTCACAGCCTTGGAAAATCCTACTGAGCAGTTCTACTCTGCACACATAGGAATGCCATCAGCTGGAATCGACTTGCTGGCAACCAACAATTCTTTCCCCCACTACATGTAATCAAGCACTGGATCTGGACCATTCCATCCCTGTAACATTCTCAAAAATCCATTCCCTCATTTTTATCTCCAATGCCTCTGCCTTGTTTCAGGCCTAGAATACCTCACTACTAGATTACTAGGAGTCCCTGGGTGATGCAAACAGTTAAAGCACTTTGCTGCTAACTGAAATGTTGGAGATTTGAGTCCACTTGGAGGTGTCTTGGAAGAATGATCTGACAATCTACTTCCAAAAAATCAAACATTGAAAAACCTATGGAGCACAATTCTACTGACACACGTGGAGCTGCTGTGAGCTGGAACCAACTTAACAGCAACTGGTAATAGATTATTGAAATATCTCTTAACTTGTCTTCCAGTCTGGAGACTCTCCTTCCCATCTGTTACCACCATTGTGCCCTTTTCCATCTGTTATCCCAATTCATTGTCTACATAGATGGCAGAACTATCTTTCCAAAACCAATTCTGATCCTCAGTTTTGGTTTTAATTTGTTTTTGATAACTCGTTATAACTTAGAGCAAAAATTCAGGTTTCTCAGAATAATATACAGTCTCTCTCCTTAGGTTAAGTACAATCTGGCAACCACTCTAGGCTCCTTCCTAGCCACCATTTCTCATCATCTTGTACCCTTCCCACATTGTATTTGTAGATTCCCAGGATAAACTAAGCCCTTTAGTACCTCAGTTCCTCTGCTTCTGCTATTTTCCCCTCCTGAAAAGCCTTCCCTTTATCAGGCAAGGCCTTGTCTTTTTAAGACCTAACTTAGATGCCACCTCCTGTGAAGAACTTTCCTGACTACTACTAGCAGAATCAATAGCTCCTTCCCTAATTTGGATTCCCACAGCACTTCATACATATTTCTACTATTCATTTGCTCCTAGATTGACTGAGGACCTATTTTGTGCACCAAAAACAAGGCATCATAATATTATCACATAATTTTAAAGAGTTAAAGAACAAGATTAGACTTACTGTTTCAGAGACTGAAACAAGATCCTCCAAAAAATGCTATATTCAGGATTATATATCAACTCTTATATAGTAAATACTACAGAGATAAGATTTTTAAAAATAGTGGTTACCTGAATGCAAAGTATAAAGTTCAAACTAGCAAGCTAAATATAAATCTTACATGATGAAATTTTATTTAAACTTTCGGTATTTGAAACCATTCACAGCATTTAAAAAAATCTTGAGGTTGTGCTATTTAAAAATTATTGTTGGACTTTCTGGAAAGCTTAAGGCTAAACAAATATAAAAAGCCCAATGTCTTATGTACTATCTTTTTGAATATATTTTCTTTAAAATGTAAATAGCTTTATTGTTTATTCAGATAAAAGTAATAGTTGCTCACTGTATAACAAAACAAAACAAAATACAAAGATGTATAAAAAAGAAAATCAGTCACTGGTAATTCCCTCACTCACAGAAAACTGGTTTAGCAGAAAAACAGGGAACAAGAGGCCTAGAATGCCATGCTAAAAAGGTGCATTTAATTTAGTAAGCAGAGAGACAGAAAGGGTGTGAAACTGAAAGACCACAGCAATTTACAGGTTAAGAAGGGAAGAAGGATTGCTATGACCTTTTGGGAAAGCAACACAACAATATGTATCAAATACTCTTTGACTCAGCACTTCACTTTTTGGAAATCTATCTCACAAAGACAAAAGTAGTGGGATGTATGGATTCTTAAGCAGGCTTCAGGCTGCCTTGTTTGTGGTGGCCCAAACGATACAACCTGAATGATTCCTGTAACAGAAATGGCTGAATAATATAGAATGGCTATATCATAATTATTTAGTTATTAGGAAATGAGTTAGATCTATCTCTACTGACCTAGAGAATGGCTTTTGGCTTTTTCCATCCTCTAGTTCAGTAGAGATAGATCTAACTCATGTGGCACAGTTGTTAAGAAATGCTAACCAAAAGGTTGGCAGTTTGAATCCACTAGCCGCTCCTTGGAAACCCTATGGGGCAACTCTACTCTGTCCAATACGTCCAATAGGGTCACTATGAGTCAAAACTGACGTGATGGCAACAGGTTTTTTTTGGTATATATATATATATATATATATATATATATGCATATTTTAAAAGTTAAATTTTTTTTTTCTGAAAGAGATAAAGATGATACCAAGAATCCAAGTGTAAAAGAGGGTGAAAATGATACTACTATTAATAGAAATAGGTCAAGAAAAGGTGACAGCTAGAAAAACATGAGAAATTTGATTTTAGACACATTTAAGGTAGGTCATTTAGTAGTTCAGTGGTTGGCAAACTATTGCCCATCTTCACCTGTTTTTGTACAACATGTGAGCTAAGAATAGTCTCCACATTTTTTACAAGAGTTGAGGAAATATTAAAATAGTATTTTGTGACATGTGAAATCAAATTACAGTGTCCATAATACTTTCACTGGAACACACCTTATTTACATATTGCCTATGGTTTTGCGCTACAGCAGCAAAGCTGAGTGGTCACAATACAGACTATATATGGCTGCAAGTCCAAAATATTTACTCTCTGGTCCTTTACTGAAAAAGTTTGGATATACCTGGCTGGCAAATGGAAATTATATTCTGAAGTTCAGATATTACTTTAATAGAAAATCGAATCCATGGTTCAGAATATTTAGAGAAGCAGGCTGAACAAAGAAGTTTGGAAAAACATCATTTAGGAAATGAAGATTTAAAGAATGTTTATTATTAAAAGAGAAAGTGAAGAGAATCCAGTCTGGTGCAGGATCATAGATTCAAGAGAACAGTTTCAAAATGGAGGTTGTGGTGAGCACTATTAAGAGAGTATGTTAAAAAACGGAAGGTGACATGGAATCAAAAATAAGCATTAGCCTGGTAGTCAACGCAGGTTCTAGACTTGGTTTTGCAACTACCTAACGAAGCTTCGGAGCCCTGGTGGCACAGTGGTTAAGAGCTCAGCTGCCAACCAAAAGGTCAGCAGTTCAAATCCACCAGCCACTCTTTGGAAACCCTATGGGACGGTTCTACTCTGTCCTCTAGAGTTGCTATGAGTAGGAATTGACTCAACGGCTTCAGGTCTTGTTTTGGTTTTTTAACAGATCCTCAGTTTCCTCATCTAGAAATGAAGGGGCTGCATAGGCTTTCCAAAGCCATCTTTAGTGTCAATGTTCTATGGTTTTTGATCTGGGCAGAAGGCAGAATACAAACAGTAAAAAGCAAGGGGTTGAGAGAAAGTGAAGGCTGTCATATTCAAAGTGAAGGCTTATTTCAAGAACACTGGTACTTTTGGGAAGGAGAGCTTAAATAACTTTTTTTTTTTTTTTAGACATATGAGTTTTTAGCACTATTTGAGCATGTTTATAAATTGAGAGAAAGATTGAGTAGAGAGAAAATGACTGAAAACGATAAGTGAAAGAGGAATAAATGTGGAACATTTCCCAAAGGAGGTAGAAAGGGATAAAATTAAGGACACAGATATAGGAGTTAGTTCCAATGTGGAAGAAGGTCTAGAAATTAAGGTCAATGAAGTATATCACCTTACCCAATATATTCATCTTTGTTCTCCTCAGTCACTAGGATATTAGAACCTCCTAATTTCAGATCATGTGAAGTAACTTTTCCCAAAATCTCCATGTCAACAGAAAAGTACATTTCTAAGCCACATTCTTCAATGTTATTGTCTCTGGGTAAAATAAAATATATCCACTAATTAACAAAATATAAAAATAGCTTTCAAGAAAATGCTTTATTGAAAAAAATAAACCTTCAAACCTTATCCAGATAAGGGAGTTATAAAATTCAGTATCAATAGATTCCAAATCCTTAATAGTAAGTTTTTTACTTAGCATACGCTTGTAGAATGGTAAAGAGAAACCAGTATCGATAAATTTTCCATGAAAAAGTGCCTGTGAAGTAAAACAAAAACGATTTATTTGAAATTTTACAAAATAACAATTTTCTTATTTAGAGTACAATGATAACAGAAATCATTTTACTGGCAAGAAAAGTACTCAGTAAGTTGAAAAGCATAAATCATCAAAACTAAAATATTATATAAAATGCTAAGTATGAAAAACAAATTACAAAGTTAAAATTTAGTTCAATGAGGTCGAACAATTAGCTATATCCAGTCCTATCAATAACTGTAAAATACGATAATAAAGGAGCTTTATTATCAAACCTCTACTCTTTCTAGTACATTTTATAAAAGAAATTAACCTAACTGGGTGCGGAAATGAAGAAGCGGCCTCAGGGCTCCCAGTGCATTGGGAGGACCCCTCCCCCATCCCTTGCTTACTCTTCATGGTTGCCTAGGAGATTTTCAGGACTAATCTCATCAGGCCTTCATCCCTATTTACAAAGGCCAACACAAGAAGCCCCAGACTCCCTCACTACTCTGACTCACCACCATCTGCCTATCCATCTCTAAATCTGATCCCATCTCTCAAACCTCCCCAAACTCCCAAAAACATTCTGAGTCCTTTGGACCTCATGGTCTATCTATCATTAGCAAATTCCCCCATATCCTCAACTCTTTCTTTGAAGATCCTTTAACTTCTTGCTCTAACAAAAATTTTGCATGTTTTCAGACAACATCACTGCTCCAAGGCCTCTCAAGAGATGGCTGTTTCTCACCCGCCCCCCTCATGTTACCAGGCCTGCAACTGGGGTGGGGGTTGCTCCTCATTACTAATTCCAGATCACTGTCCTTCCTCCTCCCTAAACCCACCTTAGTCTTAAAGCTTGGGCCATCACACCACATTACTGACTGCCGCCTGCTGTTACAGTCATCCTTGGACCCCTGGGTTTCGCCTCCTTATTCCTTCAGGTTTTACATATGACTCACTGTCATGCTCTTCTATACTACTGTCATAATTTTGGAGATTTCAATATTCACACTGATGATCCTTTTGCTACCCTGCCTTTTTAGTCCCTTCAGTGATCATAGTTTTTGCCCTAACTTAGCTAAACATTCCCAACATAACACTCTAGATAGTCATTAACAATAACTCCAATTCCTCCGTAATTTCAAATTTCAAACACTGCCTAATTTTCCAGCTCATTGCCTTTAGTACTAAAACCACCAATTTTTGACCCCAAAGGGACCTAAAAAAATCCACTGACCCTACCTACTACCACATGAAGTTATTTCCCCTTACCCAGTTAGATTCCATAGTCAATCATTAAATTACTCCCTTGTATACATTCAAACCCTGCCTCCCCACAATGCACTTCTGACAACATCCCAAGTCTAGCTAAATTCAACTTGTCAATCTACTCCATGTCTAAACTCAGGCAGTGGAACATGCCAGAAATGCATACCCAATCATGCTGACTGCTTCATGACCAATAACCTCAAGGGAGAGCTTAGTGTTGCCTGGTAAGCTATTTCCCAATTGCACTCATTCTGTCACTCTCCTAGATGACTACTTTATTCCTACTCCTCTTTCTTCAAATACCACTTCCCGACTCGTCACTCTGAGCTGATGATGATCTTGCTTCTTATATCCCTGAGGAAACGGAAGTACTTAGAAGACAGCTTTTACACTTTCCACATATCTGCTAACTACGAGCATCTGAATCTATATATGCTCATTATGGATACATTCTCTGTTACTTCTATGTGCACTAAATAAATCTCTTCCTTTCTCTCCTACCCAAGGTTATTGCTCCTATATTCCTTATCTCACTGACCTTATCAACTTCTTTCTTGATCAGTGCTATAAGCATACAACTGATTTACTCTCCCTTCATTTTCCACTCCACATCTACTTCTAGTTACCACCCAATTTCTCTATGATGCTTTACAGCACACTTCTTTGAAAGATTTGTCTGTATCTGCTGTATCCACTTCTCCTTCCATTCTCTTCTGAATTCACTCTCATTAATCTTTCCTCGTTTCCACTCATGAATCTCTATCACCTGGCCAAATCAAATGGTCAATTTTCAGACCTCACCTTACTCAGCCTATCAGCAACATCTGACACAGATGATCGCTTCTTCTTTCTTGAAATACACCTTCTTTCCTTGGCTTCTGGGAACCACTCTCAATTGATTCTCCTACCTCCTTCTCCTCAGCTGTTTTGCTGGTTCCTTCTCATTTCCTCAACTTATAAACGTCCTTGAACTTCTTCTCTGTTCATACTTATTCCTTAAATGACAGCATAGCTTTTAATACTCTACATGCTAAAAACTCCCAGATGCCGATCTCTAGTTTAGATATCCCTCATGAAATTGATATAGATATCCTCTCATGAGAACAGTACATCCAACTACCTGTTACACATTTCCACTTGGATTCTACAGGCATCTCAAACTTAACATGTTCAAATCCAAATTCTTGATTACCTCTCACCCCCAAAACGTGCTCTTTTCCCAACCCTGCCACTCTTAGGAAATGGCAGTTGCAACCACATGGGCAGGCCATAAATTTTGATGCCATACTTGACTTTCTCTTGCACCTTAAACCTAATCTGTCAGAAAATCCTGACACAAATTTTGAATCTGATTTTAAATTCAAAATATATCCACAATCCAAATCACTTCTCACTACCTCAACTGGTAAAGCACACCAGCCCAAACCGCTATCATTTCTTGTCTGGATCGTTGCAAATGGTTTCTCTGGTCCCAACCTTGCTTTCCTCTGCCCCCAACTATAGCCTCTGTTCTACACAGCAGCAAAGTAAGCTTAATACAATTTAAGTCAGATCATGATACTTCCCTGTGCAAAACCCTTAAGTCAATTTACTAAGGGTCCCACACAGCACCTCTCAATCTCCCACCACATTCTCTCTCATATACTCTGTTCCTGCCATGCTGACGTCTCTCCAGTTTCTCAATCAAAAATGCACTTCCACCTTGGGGATTTTTGTCTTGCTGTTCCCTATGCCTACAACGTTCTTCAAAATATCTGCGTGATTCGATCTCCCACTTTCTTAACATTTCTGTTCATGTGTCATTCATTAGACACACCTCCTCTAACCATCCTATATAAAAGAGCACTACTCAGCACGTATTTATTGTCTGTCTCCCTCAAATAGAATTTAAGATCCCTGTAAGCAGGGGCTGTGTCTATTTTTTAATGGCATCACCTTCAGTGCCTAGAATAGACTAAGTGGTAATATAAATAATCCTCAAAATCATAATTTTGATGTCATACATTAAAAAAAACCCAAATCTGTTGCCGCTGAGTCGATTCTGACTCATACACTATTTTTCATACTCTTCCTATGCAAACTTCCTTGGCTAACAAAATTTGTGTACAGCCAAAAATAAAGATAATGCTTATCATTTTTTTAAAAAGTCCTCTGTAAAATACTTTTGAAACAAGCAAAGTTTAAATAAGTAAAATAACTGAGTTAAGAACTCACCATAGCGATAAAGCGACCAATGAAACAGAAGTATGAAAGATGATCAGGATTAATGGTTGATGCTGGATTTATCTGCAGGCAGTAGTTGTTCTTGCCAGCATACTCAAATAAACAATACATTGGGTTCAAGACTTCATGTGAGAGCAAGAAAAACCATTCTCTATAAGAAAACAAATCAAATTTAACTTTTTTTTTTTTTTTTTTTTAGCACTTGTATATACATGAATTCAAACACAGGTAAATACACATGTATATATATTTTACCTGTGCTAAATACTCTTTAACAACTCTGCAGCCCAATTGCTCAGCCTTTTGTTTAAGTCCCCCTATGACCTGGTCCTCCCTTCAAAGTTACCCGCCAGTTTCTGTGTTTTAGCCAAAATACAGACTCACTCTTCCTCACATATAACATGCTTACTTCTATACTTTTGTATGAGTATGTCTCCTCAAATTCCACTTGGCTCATGTAGATCCTACTTTCCCTTTCAAGTCCAGATCAACTCCCACCTCAGTAATTTTCTGAATTCCTATATGGCTTATTATCTGTATGTCACTGACCACTTTCTGGTAACAACCTTATGATATCATTCATTTTTATGCACATAACCTGCACCACTCACCACACTGTATGTTTCTTAAAAACAAATATTACATCTTTATATAGATTTTGGATACTCAGTTCTTAACAGGCATTCTACAACCTATAAACAATAGGTTTTTAATACATATTTGTTGATGATACTAAGGTACGCAACACTACTGCTATGGAATAGTTTTAATTTAATTTCATTGTTAATGCATTAAAAATGGAACTAAAATTAACACACTGAAATCTTTAAATGTGATATGCGTTTCTTAACTTATCAGCTATTTTGGTTCACTTAAAAAAAAAGTCTAATATAGGAAATCCAACTAGAAAAAGATTACTAATTTATATTACAAAATAAATACTTAATTTTCAAAAGGACCGTCTTGATATCAATTTCTTCTAAAGCAGGGTTCCAAATGCAAATCCCTACAGTGACCAGTAAATGAGTAAAAGAGACGTCCTTCTCCAGATGGGTCTCACATTCTCTATTAGCCATAATCCCCCATTCCTCATTGTTTCCCTGATAAAAATTATTATTGGTTTTAGGGAAAACATTTCTAGGCATATTCTCATAGTCCTTAGACCACTGGGCAGTGGTAGGCATTGCAGTGAAATAATGTACACACCCCTGAAGGGGAAGCAGTTACTCTGCTTCAGCCAATTGTTGCTATGTGAGAAGGTAGGAATGTAGGTCTAGTGTTTTTAAAGAGAAGCCAGAAATCTTGAGCCTTAAGTATAAACTCGTGATTTTTGAATTTAAAAATTTTAATATCACTATGAGGGCCACTCTGCAGGCTAGATCTGGCCTGGTGGTCTGTTTGCAAACTCTTTCCTAAAGCTTTAAAAATATAATACAGGAAACTGTCTGAAAGGTAGAAAAGGAGGGAAACAGAAAACTCAACCCTAAGTACAATCAACTGAGAATGATAAACACCAATTCATAAAACTAAATCCAGTCCCAATCACTAGTCTTAAATAGTAGTTGAACCAAGTCAAATTCCCTCTGTGAGGAGGCTAAAGTAAGACCTGTCCCTAGGGAAGAGGACTGAGAAGATCTAGTGACAACTTGGTTAGACACAAAAAAACTAGATATAACATGTCCAGTTGCCTCTACTTCTTTTAGCTAACAGCGGCCCTGAGAAAACTCAGTCCACACAAAAGAAGAATGGCTGTAACATTGCACCTAACCTATACCTAGATATTAGCAGAAAAGAAGGAAAAACTGCTAACTAGCAAGAGACAGAAAAATTTACTTTAGACAAATCCTTCTCTATACTCAAAAATAAACTAAAGAAATACAGGAAGTTGAAAAAATTATGAGACAACAGATGAGCTAGCAGAGGCCAGAGAAGAAAAGGAAAACAATAAAACCACTAAGAAGAAAAATCACAGAGAAGCAGCAAAACATAGGGCAGTACTAAAAACAGTCAGTGACATGAGAATAGGCTTGAGAAAAATCCAAACAAAATGGAAAAGCACAAAGTTAAAAATGATTAGTGATGATAAACATTTAAGACTGACAAAGGAGATTCCACATACCCATGACTGATGTTCCTGAAGAAAAACAGAACAAATGGAACAGAAAAAATATCCAAAGACATAATAGAAGAAAACATCCCTGAAATTAAGGAAGATCTTAACATGTTCCTAAAATAGATATAAAACAATCAACAATGAAATTAACCAACTTCAAAGAAGAGGACTTTATGGGCACCCACAGGAAAAAAACAAGTTTCCTACAAGGGACTGGCTTCACACTTCACAGTGCTAACATTCAATGCTAGAAGGGAAGCAATGTCTACAGCATTCTGGAGAAACAAATGTTGTGCAGAAAATGTACATCCAGTGAAGTTGTTTATATAGGAAAGTAACAGAAAACATGTTCAAACATGCAAAGACTCCATGAATATACTATACTTTTGAAACCTTGAATCAACATTTGATAATGAATCTAGGTAATTAATATATAAATCAAAATAAAGAATTTAGGAATAAGAATATCATGGTATGAAAAGAACTGGCTATATGCACTATAAACATCAAAACATAAAACTAAACTCAAACAGATGAAGCACATATCTGTTCAAACAAGAACATAAACGTTATCAAGTCAGACACCGTAAAAATAATACAATATTTCCTTACTTCTTTTTAACGTCTTAACATTTCTGAAATTGAAATAAATAACAACAGAAGGGATATGAACATTTAATGTGGTAAGAAGTGTTTCTGTTTTGGAAATGTTTCTCGATGATATTTCAGATGAAGAAATATGCTAATATAATCAACATTCTGATAACTCTACATGTATTTGCTCCCAGTTGTGCCTGGTCCCACATCTATTTTTGTTATTTATATATAAAAATTTGATTATGTAATTTTGTATACCCGTGAAATATGAGTTCATGAAAGAGTTGTATAGGGTTGCTATGAGTCGAATCAACTTGATGGCAATGGGTTTGGTTTTGGGTTTTCTATGAAAAACAAGTTTTCATTAGGGTTACTGAAGAAACATTCAAATGGAATGCAGTATCTTTAGAAAGATTTAATGGAAGCGTTTTGCTAAAAAATAAATTGTCAAATTAAGTTCAGGTCTAAGGCAAATAAGGGGAAAAATAAAAATTTAAAAGGGTTCACTCATATTGCTTCAAAAGTGTCTACTGTTAATATATTTAGTGAATGAGGAAAATTTTATTGTCAAAAGACTTAGATTGGATTAAAAACAAACATAAAGTCAACTCATGCTGTTGTAATAGCAAAACAGAAATAAACTTATGTATGTTGACCTACTAATTATGATATTTCCATACAATGAATTACTTTGCAGCCATTTTTTAAAAAGGGTATTAGCTCTATATATAGTGATATGGAAAGATGTCCATAATGCAGAAAATGACAAAACCAAGTTGCTGTATCATGTGCATTGTATGATTCTGTTTTTAAAAAACAACAAATATACATGTATGTGTGTGTGCATAGAAAACGTACAGAAGGATAACCAAGACAAGAAATAACATTTACTTCTAAAATTACAGAAGTATTTTAAATTTTGTTCTTAAAAATAATTCTGGATTGCTACTGGAAAAAATATAACCCAGTCTATTCATGTACCTTTTCAGGAATACATCCGTTGTAAACAATGAGATATACTTATTTCAAAGCAACTATGTGGTTTTTTATTTTACCTTGCTAAACCACCATAATCAAGTCCTTCTTCTCCTCGAAATATTACGTATAATCGCCTCCTCAAGTCATAGGGTTTTAATGCCATAATCTATTAAAAATAAAAGCATGAGTATTTATACAGTATACACTTCATTCAAAAGTTTAAATTTCATCTGAATTTTCAAAGTTACAAATTTCCTTACCTCATATAACAATGCCTTTAACTTAAGAAATCAATTGATTTGTTCCACAAACTAAAGACCTACCTATTCTATTAATCTTTCTCTGATTTACTTTCATATAGTCTCTTCCCCTCCCCTAGTATCAAACAGTAGTTCTACTTTGGGTTAGTGGCAAGAGAGGAAAAGTATGGTAGAGAAATCTTTTAGGGTTAGAAAATACTCCCTCTTCCCACCCCTCTGCAAATAATACCATAATCTTTTACAAGGTGACTTGTAAATTTTTCTAACTAGTGACAATTATGAAGAGTCAAAAGATCTTGTCTTGTGCCCTGCTTATAACACACATTTCCACTTCTCAGTAGAAAAGGAATTCAGCTAAACAAACATTTATAAGGTAATGAATTTATACACACATTTTATCTTAAAAAATACCATACCAAGGTTACTAGTAGTAGGGTTTACTTCTGGATAAAAATGAATTATTTTCACTACACGTGTCAGAACCAAAGCTAAGACTGGCATGTCTGAGTCAGAGCATAGCCCACCAGCAGGTATCCATCTCAGGGACAGTCATGGCTCAGCCTTACACTCCAAAGAGACCATGACTCAGCCCAAGCCAGAGTAAAAATAAAAAACAAAATAAATTCCATCATGAATTTAGCTGTATACTAAAACAAAACTCAAACAGAGCTTGGAACAAGTTGATCAGTTTTGACACTTAACTTATTTTGCTAAGAATGCATCAACTCAAACAAAAAAACTTTTGATAATAGCTACATTAAGTATTTTGCCCAAGTGCAACAGTTAGTAAAACTGAGCTAGGATCTGAATGTCTCTCTGACTTCAGAGAGCTATTCTACTTTGCCTGTACACAGTATATGTGCAAGTCCCTGTGTACTTGTATGCACAGGAAATTTTGGTTCATCATTGTAATACTTCAGAGGGGAGTGAGAAGAATAGGAAAAATTTTCCACTTCATCAGAAAAAAAGAACTGACAATATTCAGATTTGTTATCTTTAAATATTCTACAGATAATTCAGGAAAGGTAGATGTACTGCATTCATTTAATTCAGTCACCAAATATTTACTGAATGTCTGCTATGTACAAGTTACTACTATACATACTGGGCATAAAAGCAGTAAATAAAATATTTCTTCCTCTCAAGGAACTTAAATTCTAGTAAACAGAGACAGACAACAAACAAACAAATATATATCAGGTGGTGATAAGTGTTAGAAAGAAGAATAAAGTACCATAAGTGGATAGAATGTGACTGTTTTGAGGGAGGTGAGCAGGGACGGCTATTGTACATAGTGTGTTCAGACAAGGTCTCTCTGAGATCATGACATTTAAGCAGAAACCTAAAGGAGGTAAGAATTAACATTAGGATTATTAAACATTCAAACAGAATGCAGCACCTATCAATTTAATTTTAATTTGGTAGTGACTATCAAAACTTTTTTTTTTTGTTGAAGTTAATAAATTCTTAGCAAAGTAAGTGTCAAAATGGATCAACTAGTTCCAAGCTCTGTTTAAGCTTTACATTAGTAAGTATACATCTAAATTCACGGTATAATTATTTTGTCTCTCAGGTACTGAGGTACTGAAGTACCTTTACTTGTAAGATGGAGATAATGATAGGAGCTATCTCAAAGGGATCTTGTGAGGATCAATTAAATGAAACAATAATTATAAGATGCTAGTGCCAAGCACAGCGCAATCACTTAATACACGGCAGGTTTTACTATTACAGTAAGTACTCAGTAAGTGGCAGCCATTATTATAGCTGTGTTGTGCATGGTTTAAAATATCTAAAATTCTAACCCCCTTAAGATGTACAGAATACAAGCAGACAGACAGTACTGTTGTATTCTCATAAAACCTTCCTTACCTGTTGGAAGGAATCTTCAAACAATGTCTGCCGGGACACATTGATCTTCACATGACTGGGTAGCGCATTAGACTAGGAACAAAAATAATACCATAACATCATGTAAGCTATAGTATATGTATTATGTAAAGATAAGACTAAATGATTATGAACATAAGATTTATTTACCACTGTAGTACCTGGCACAAATAACGGAAGTGAGCAAGTTTCCACCTAAAGCTGCGTTCGTAAGCAATTTGTGGACCACCTTTAGTTCTACAGAAAAACAAAAACAAACCATATATTTACTTGTAATAAAGTCAAACATTTAGTATTCAGTATGAATCTGAGTGCACCAGAGTCCTACAAACCAATGAAAAGTTATTTGCTGGCAGGGAAGTAAAGATGTATTTAGTGGGGCAACAGAAGCTCAAGCATTGAAGGCTATTACAGCAACAGGCAAACACACCCACACCCTCATACACAGAGGGAAATTGTATGGATGCATGGATCTTTGTTAAGCAGTTAACTGAAAAGTTAAAATTCACTTTGATTATTGCAAAGAAAACCTTTGATAATTCTTAAATCTAAAGAGGACAGAAGCTCTAGATAGATGAGACATGGAAGGAAATTCTATTACATCTTAAAATCCTCCCTGAAACTGAAACAAATACTGCTGGTGAGACAGTAAGCAAAGCAAAAGCAAATTCCTAGGAAGAAGTGACATCTGGGTCACGTGACTCAGCTGATAAGTGAGGAAGAGGCAGAGTGGGTGGCCATCTAGGAAAGTAGGTTTTACAGTAAGGTTTGATTCACACTGAGAAGGCCTGGGGTGCCTATGGAACAAGGGTCTAAAAGGCAGGCACAAAGAACTTTCACAATCTCAGGGAACATTCTGGAATGGATGGAAAACTTTCTCTTGTGTTAGCATGTTCAAGCGTGTTCATTCATTCAACAAATACTGAGTGCACAGCAAGCACTTGGCACTCTTCTAGACATTGAAAGCATTACTTGTTAATAAAACACATGAAAATGCCTGTTTTTAGGAAATTTATTTACAAATGAAGATACACAAGCAACATAATAAGTAAATTCCATGTGTAGTGTGTTACAAAGGGATACAGGACAAGGGAGAAGAACTTTATAATTCTGAAAAGGGTGAACAGAGTAGGGCTCATAGAACAAGTAACACTTGAGCAAAATCTCAAAGGAGAGTACCTAAGTCATACAGACATCTGGGGAAAGAGTATGTCAAGAAGAGGGAATAGGGCAAAGACCTTAGGTGAAAGCTGCCCAAGGTGTTCGAGTGGCCAGTGAAGCTGGAGCAGAGGTTGAAGAGATGAGTATTGGATCTTGTAATACCTTGTAGGCCATTGTAAGGACTTTGCTTTTTACTCTGACTGAAATGAAAGCCACTGAAGGATTTATGTAAAGGAATGACTTAGTTTTTATTTAATTTTTAAAAAAAATTAGCCTCACGCTGTATGGGGCATGGGTAGAAAGCAGCAGTGAGAGTGGGGTAGGACTATGGCACCACTCGAGCTGGGAAACAATGGTAGCTTGGGTCAAAATAGTAGCAGTACAGGTGGTGGGACGTAGCTGGATTCTGGGTATATTCTGAAGTTTAGGTAACAAGAATTCTTGATGGGCTGTATGTGAAGTGAAAGGGAAAGAAGAATCAAGGACAATTCCAAGATTTTTGGCTTAAGCACCAGAGTTATCGTGAACTGAGATGGGGAATATTGCCAGGAGAACAGGTTTTATGGGGACTATCAGGAAGGAGTTCACCTTTGACATCCAAGCAGAGATGTCAAGTAAGCAGCTGACTATAGGCAAGCTTTCAAAGGAGTGGTCTGAGCTAGATATATAAATTTGAAAGCCATCAGGATATAGGTGTTTTTTTTAAAAGCACAACGCAAGATGAGATTAACCGAGAGTGTGAGTGTAGATAGAAAGGAAAAGAGAAGTAAGGACAGCTCTGGTTATATTCCAATGTTAAGAGACGGAGGAGAAAAGGAGAACTTAGCAAAATTCAGAGAAGGAAAAAAAGGCCAGTAAAGCTCAGGAAAATCAACAAAGTGTGGTATTCTGGATTACTATGACACAGGAGAGATTTATTGTGTCAAATGCTCCTGGTAAATCCAATGACTCGAGGACTGCAAACCTACCCCTAGATTAACTATGCAGAGGTGACTGGCACCCTTGACAAGTTCAGTGTCAGTGGAACTTCTTGGAATCAGTTTAAGAGCGAAATCAGAAATAACACACAGAGACAACTCTTTGAAGTAGTTTTCCTGTAAAGGGCAACATTAAAAACAGATTGTCATGGTTAGCAATTACTTTAAAACAAAGATGAGAATGTAAGGGGGCAGGGGTGAGATTAATGGAAACACTGAGAATGTTGACACATTGTAAAGAATGTAAACAATGTCACTGAAGAATCTGTGTAGAAACTGCTGAATGTGAACCTAAACTGCTGTATAAAAGTTCACTGAAAATACAATAAAATATTATTTAAAAAAAAAAAAAAAAGAACTGTCATTGAATGGATTTGTAAGGTCATGAGACGTTTTCTCTGCTTTGTTTTCTAGGAGAAATAACAGCTTGTTTGTATGCTGATAAGAATAACTCAAAAGAGAAAAACTGATGATATAAGGACAGAAAGGTGATAATTGCTAGAGCAATTAAGTGGGAAAAGGGAGAAATATCTAGGCCCCAGCTGAGGGACTGGCCTTTGATAGAAAGAATCACAGTTCACCTATAGGAAAAGCACGGAAGACAGATGCTAGTAGGTAGGTAGATGTGACTGACGGTAGGAATTTGCAAAAGACCTTTTACGACTGCGTCCATTTTCTTAGTGAAGCAAAGATATCACACCTAAGAGTAAGAATGAAGGAGAGATCTGTCAACTGCTTATTTAAAATATCTTTAACTGGAAAATTCCATTTCTTTGCACTTCTCTTTCCGTGACGTTGCAGCAGTATGATGTGGCTGCTAAGAGCACTGACTGCCTTGGTCTGAAACACAGCTCCGTCACTAATGAGTATGATTTTGCACAAGTTCTTTATGCTCCCTACACGTCAGTTTTTCACCTGGAAAAGGGGGGGAAATAACAGTACTTACACCTCAAGGGGTTGTTGGAAGACAAAATAATAAGCTAATATATCCAAAGTGCTTAGAACAATCCTAGGTACACAGGAATCACTATGTAAATATTTGCTACTGTTATTACTAAGGAATTATATACCACAAATTTATTCTGTTCTAAGGGAGATAAGCAAAGACAGACTTGACAGGTGTTCTTGAGTCAAAAAGTAAACTTTGTTGCTAAACTTGAGGCTAAATTAAAGGCTGAGCATCATGTCCTCATTACACAGCCATTTAAGGAGAGCTTCAGGTTTTCACTTACACAGATGACTTCCCATTTCGAGGATCTTTGAATGTTGTTGTTCTTGTGTTATGATCGACGAAGTATCTAACGCCTTCTCGAGTATACCTAATTTCCCAGCCTTCTGGCAGGGGTTCTTCATTCTGTAGGCTAAAAAGATAAAATCACAAAGTAAACATTTTCTAGGCACTAAAAACATCACTTGATTCTATCTACAGTTACATTTAAGATGACTTAAGTAAGGTTATAGTGTATACGTACCCTTGAGTTCTTGGATCCTCCCATTGGGTTGTTTTTGTGTTATGATTCACAAAGTAAACTCTGTCTGTTGAATCTACTCTTTTTTCTAAAAAAGAAAGTAAGCACAGCATTTAATAACTATTTGGTATATATACCTTGCAGATATTTTTAACAACATATTAGCTTACCCCAGCCTGGTGGCAAAGGCCCATATGGGTCATTTTCTGCAGCTAACATTGAAGCCTAATTGGAGAAGAGGTTTGGGGCAGAAAAAAAATAACAGCATTTTAATATAAAAGCAAAGATACTTTAAACACCTGGCAGAATCATTTTATAATTTTCTATAAAATATGATAAAGGAGCATTGGCATAATAATTTCAAGACACAAAAGTACTAAAAATGTCATGATGTGTGAGCAATCAATCAACTGATAAAATTAGTCTTAAGTTTTTCTAAAATGATTTAGAAAAAATATATTGACATCAATACTTTAATCTCCTAGTTCTTCAATAATAATCTATACTGGCAAGATGAGACAGAAGAAGAGGATACAGAAAATTATGGTATTTTATGAGGCAATATTATTTGTTTAAAAACAATTACCACAGTGCTCTTTAAAAAAATGCCTTTTATTAAAACCAATATTAAACTCCAGTACTATCTTTATGCAAATAAACTTACACAAATCTTAGTATCAGTATCTTTTACATGTTTATATATACATAAAAATATCTATGCTTACACATTATTACTAAAACTTAGAAATACATATTCTGAAGAAAATATAAACATTCTACCATCAATTTTAAAAGAACGACAAGCATAAAAATCACTGCTTAAAAAATCATTTCTTAGTGATAAAGTTCATGTGCCCTGATGAATACTTTAAAACCTTGTAACTGAAACCACTAATTGTATTTTCAATACCCATTTGCCACTCCTTCCTTGATAATCCAACTACTGTTTTGCTTGAGGTAGCAATGTATCCACCTAAGACTATTCTATTACCAAGCCTTCCTTGTGGCTGGGTTGGTAGAGTGACCAGCTGTGGCCAAAGTGGTATAGGCGGAAATCCTAGAGAGCATACTTCTCCTAGAAAAGAAAGGCATGGGTGTGCTAGAAAACTTTCTCTTCCCTCTTGCCCAGACTGTAGAAGTGAAGCCTAGAGGTCAGCAGTTCCATATGACTGATGTAACAGGCATGACACACAACAGGGACAGGGAAGCAAAAGAGTAGAAAGAACCGGGTACTTGATGGCACTACCAAGCCAATGCAATGTTAGCCTGTACATGTACCCAGGCTCAGTGTTGAAAGAGGTAATTAAACCTCAATCCACTTAAGCCTTCATAAGTAGGATGTTTTGAATATTTGCAGGATAACACACTTTTTTAAAAGAATTTTTTATTGTACTTTAAGTGGAAGTTTACAACTCTAGTCTCTCATACAAAAATTTATACATACATTGTTATGTGACCCTAATTGCTCTCCCTGTACTGTGACAGCACATTTCTCCTTTCTACCCCTGATTTCCCATTCCACTCAACCAGTTCCTGACCCTCTCTGCCTGCTGCCCATTTAGTCTCATGTATCTACTAGAGCTAAGAAGCACACTCTTCCTGAGTATCCCATAGTCCAGTCTAATCTTTGTCTGAAGAGTTGACTTAGGGAATGCTTTTAGTGCTGGGTTGACAGAGAGTCTGGGGGTCATGCTTTCTGGGGTTCCTCTAGTCTCAATCAGACCATTAAGTCTGTTTTTTTTTTTTACTAGGATTTGAGTTCTGCACCCCACTTTTCTCCTGCTCCATCAGGGACTCTCTGTTGGAGAACACACTTTTGATACACACTTTTTACCTTACTCTGCCCTATTTTCTCAAGGTTTTTGTAGATAGGTCTAACCAAAAACAAACAGACACAACACATAATTTCTTGTTTAATATATATATATAGCTGAACTATGGAACCTTACCACAGATTTCTGTATAAGTCACCAAAGAACCAGCAATTGGCGGCAGCAAGGGATGCTGTGAAAGCTGGGTTGCTCCATTCCCTCCCTTCTAGGGACTTTTTATTTAACCTCTGAAGAAAATGGAGTTCAAAGAGCCAGCCTGAGGCAGGATTTTGAAGAATTATTTTTCTTTCCATGTCTCTTTCCTACTTCTTTTCCATCTTGTTAATCTCTACTTTTGGGTTTCTACAAGTTGCCTCAAAGCACTATCTAGAGATGACCAGTACTTTATTTTTTCTACCTCCTGACAGGAAACCCATTTAACAGTTTTTCCCCACCTGTCTTGTAGATGTTTGCTTATGAAAATAAATCAATCACCAATTGTTTGAACTTCCCGACAGCATGAGATTTTTTGGACAAAACTATCTCCAATCCCAGAATTATCTTTGGTGAGCCAAAACAGAGGAAAGTGTTCTTAGAAGCTGGGATGAAATAAGAAAAACTAGAAAGTGAGAAGACTGGCCCTAAGTAAAATCACGAGGCAACTGGTTTTGTTTAAAGCAAATAAATTATGATTAATGGTGGAGGATGGAGAATTGGTAAAAACATATTCTTAAGAAACTGCATTTATGAAACTACCCTTAATAAATAACGATAAAAAACTGAGTGTTATGGTTCTGTTAGTAAACTAGAATATCTTCTAAAAACTTAAAGTGCTTATACCCATATATCAGAAACAGCAACTTATTAAAGATTAAAAAACACCTGTAATGCAGTCTATTAAAAAAAAAAAAATCACCAAAGTAGAAAAGGGCAAATGCCTGAGGGAAAATACTGTATTAACAGAATTTGCTAATTACCGAATAGAGGTATCGTTGGTTGAACTGTTGCATAGCTCCCTGCAATTGGTTCCGCTGAGACTGCCACTGTTCAAAGTTTCTAACAGATTCCATGGTGGGCCGCTGCCACGTTGTTGTTCTGGTGTTATGATCCACATAATAAACTCTTCCACGATCATCAACTCTTCTTTCCCAACTACCAAAATTAAAATAAACAGTAATAAACAAATAATAATCTCCCAATATAAGAAACTAAAAAGAATTTAGTAAATACTTCACTCAAATAATTTAAAAATCAAGTCCAAGACATGATAAAGTGACTTACAAAGAATGCAAATATTCACAACTCTTCAGGATAACTATGAACATGTAACTTGGGATTTATCTTAGCTAAATTACTTTGCCATTCTACTACTACAGGAGTTGTAAGGGCTACCTAAAAGAGGCCACAAAGTGAATAAACCCAGTATCAATCTGACTACCTTTTCTCCCTTTTCTTCGTTAAGTACTTACTGAGCGCTTAGTATGTATTAAGGTGTTCTGGTGGTGCAGTGGTTAAGCACTCAGCTGCTAACTGAAAGGTCAGCACTTTGAACCCACCAGCTGCTCTGCAGGAGAAAGATGTGGCAGTCTGCTTCTATAAAGATTTAGAGCCTTGGAAACCCTATAGGGGCAGTTCTATTCTGTCCTATAGGGTTGCCATGAGTTGGAATCGACTTGACGGCAATGGGTTTGGTTTGGTTTAGTGCGTAATTAGCAGTCTGCCCCTATGGCCACTATCCAAGTTCAGAATTGTAACCTAACTTTTTTTTTACACTGCTATCAGTTAATTTTCCTGAAGTACAGATCGCATCACTTCATTCCACGTATCATAACTCTTTGGTATGACATAAAAATGAACCTATCCACCTTTCTAGCCTCATTTTCCATTAGATCCTTTCAAGGGCTTCATGTGGGAGCCAAACCAACTACTGCTAATCCCAAATATGTCTTGTGTTTCATCCCATCATACCTATGTTTTAGTACTCCTTCAGAACAGAATCCCTTCCCTACTTCTCTACCAACCAGAATTTAACCCATCCTCCAGGGTTAAATTCAGTTCCCTTCTCTTCCACACACATACAGCAGGTATATGCTTTAAACCAATTTTTGTCATTAATTTATAAAATGATTTAAGAATTCTTTCAGCAATCAATTCTAAATTCTTTCTGTAAACTTAATACTAAAAATACAATAGGATCATAAACAGCATAAGGTAATATAAGTTCAAGGGTGGAAAGCCGTAACAGGCTCTAAAGATAAAATTAAAGATAATCTCTATCTAATATTTTGACAACAGCATCCATGAAATAAACCCCATATTATGACACTCAATGAATGGGTTAAATGAACGACTATAACTATGATCCTGTCATAGTTATAATGAACTTTATATGGTTTGCTATATTGAAATATTGGGTCTATGTTTTCTAGAGTTAAGTTCTCATTAAAACGGTAGGTCCAAGGCCTAAGTGTTTCATTCCATTAAAAGGAAATATCTCACAAAAACAACATACACCTTGCTTTGAATTTTCTGGACTTTGAATGTGTTTTGTATTAGTGGAATTTAAATGGAGTCTGGAAGGACAGATATTCTAAGTGGAAAAGATAATAAGGAGAATATTCCAAGTATAGGCCAAGTGTTTGGGGAAAATGTAAACAGCGTAATTTAACCAGCTATCAGTAGAGTATATGTAAAGAGTTATCAAAGATAAGAATACAAAAGTTAAAAACAGGTCAGTTTCGGAAGGCCCTGCATGGCAAGCAGCCTAATATCATAAAATTTATTTACTATGTAGTAGAAATGTTTTTATTCACTTAACCCATTGCCGTCAAGTGGATTCCGACTCATGTCGACCCTACAGGACAGAGTAGAACTGCACCATAGGGTTTCCAAGGAGCACCTGGTGGCTTCGAACTGCCAACCTTTTGGTTAGTAGCCATAGGTCTTAACCACTACACCACCAGGGTTTCCACTTAAAACCCTCTATTATGAATTTAAGTAGCTCTGGTGGTGCAAGTTAAGTGCTTGGCTGCTATCAGCGGTTTGAAACCACCCAGCGGCTCCACAGGAGAAAGACCTGATGACCTGATTCGGTAAAGATTACTACTGCCTAGGAAACCCTCTGGGGCAGTTCTACTCTGTCACATGAGGTCGTTAGAGTTGAAAATCGACTCAATGGCACCTAACAACAACAACATTATGAATTTAGGAGTCCTTGAGTGGCACAAATGGTTAAGCACTCACCTACTAGCCAAAAGGTTGGTGGTTTAAACCCACCCAGAGGTGGCTCAGAAGGCAGGACTGGTGATCTGCTTCTGAAAGGTCATAGCCTTGAAAACGTTATGGACCTTCTACTCCACACATGGGGTCGCCATGAGTTGGAATCAACTCACTAGCAATTAACAACAGCATGAATTTAGCCATAGTGTGTTAAAATTTTACTTGTAGCTATCTTTGTAGATCACTATTTGACCCACTCTAATAATTTTTTAAGTCATTACATCTCATAAAATTACATAGTTTAGATTGCTATCTGTGGAGAACCATACACCTAAATTGCCTTTCATTTCTTAAAAATAACAGGGACCAAATTTGGACCAAAATTCTATAACTCCTCTCAGTAACTCATGTCAATGTTTGAAATCTCTTGAGGAAGCCCTTCAGACTATCTAAGAGATACAATAAAACAACAACAAAAAACTCACTTATCAACCATTCATTATTCACACATGCAAAACAATTAGGTAAGAAAACTTAATATGGAGAATGAATTTTATGTCGTACTAAATAAATTTAAAAATGACAGGTGTGATAAAACACATCTGAAGATGCATAAAGACGCTACAGTACCCTGGAGGTAATGGTTGTGGTCTCTCCCACGTGGTGGTTCGGGTGTTATGATCCACATAATAGGTTCTACCGTGAGGATCTTTTCTCTGTTCCCACCTTTAACAAAACACAAAAATAAAAGTAAAACACAACGAAGTAGGACAATCTGGAAAAATAATTCTTTCTTATAATCAGAAAAATGATAGATTAGCTTTACTTTAAAAGGCTATATGTATTTTTAAGTTCTTTCTTTTCTCAATTATCAGTGCTTTTTAGGGTCTTAATTATACCCTTTGCACTAACAGTATTGGAAACTCAAATACTTAGTTACCAGGAAAAGGATAGAATAATACCTAAAATTTTAAAAAGTTACTAATTTACAGAACTCCAAATTATCAGAAACAGAAATTTAATTAAAGAGTAGAGCAACTTTCGGCCTAATTTCAAGCCCAGAGTATAAAATGTCAATGAAGGAATATCCGTTTTTGTCTATAATTTCATTGCCTAATAATTTCAAAAATACACGTCTAAAAGATTTTAGGAAAATTAGTTTTAAAGAAATATGTGGTGACACTGCTCCATGAAGTTTTTCTTCTATGTGTGGATGATGTCTTCTTTCTCTGCACACCTATGCCTGTCTTCCTTTTGGTAAACCTCTGGGTTTATGGACATCATAACTTTATCTTTTTCTGTTCGATCTCTAAGACTCTCATTTTCCCCACTCTTATTTTCTCCTTTATGATACCTGTTTCTTCCTCTTCAGTCTTTCCTCAATATAGTATAGAAGAAAAACTTTAAATGTAAAAAACAAAATTGATATATTTTGAGTTTAATATTCTTATTTTCAATTTTAATGTGGAATGAATGGGAAATATGTTCCTTTCTCTTAAACACAGGAACTCAAGTTAAATTTGATTTATTTTAATTACAGAGGCCTTACGTTATTTTCCTACATGATGATGATATATATTCAAGGTACACACATACATACATACTTAAAATCAACTACAAAAATAAATTTAATAATTTGTTTAAGCCACACCTTACAAACATAAGTCAAAAAATGCCAAGTAGTAGCATGGATGTTAAAGATGCCCAGGTTGATAACTCCAGATCAGAAACATTGTTAAACTTATCTATTAAATACCACTATGGTATGAAACCCTACACTAGAACATTCATGCTATAAAAATGTAGGTATTTCTTATAAAGCATTTCACTAAAAGGAAACAACCTGAAATTTTAGATTTACTTCATCTGTTTCTGTGTAATAATAAAAGTTAACAGGAAGGTGGAGTTTAAATATCGAATTTCATTTTAAATGTTTCAGGAATACCTATAATATATACCAAGTAGCTATTTATCTGTATGAATGCTTAACTGTCCAAAACAAATACCTTAAAAAAAATGATTAAGTTTCTAAAACTTCCTGGTAATGGTACTTTTGCTATTTTTACTATTCTAGAGCAAAATTTCCTCATTTCTACCCTTTCTTCATAAATGCCCTGTACCACTTTTAATTCAGCTCTAAGTTTCATATACCTTCATATATTCATACTTTTCAGTCACAAAGTCTATGAGGCTCATTATGAAAAACAACAGTGCCTACTACCACCTCATCCCATTTCCTACTCCCCAAAGGCAACATTTTCAACTGTTTTAACCAATTGTTTTGGTATTTACTTCTATTTTTCTTATCATCCTGACATTACTACTTCTTAATTTCAAACACAATGCATTGACTTCTCAATGTGAAAGATGAAGCTTTAGCTCTCTTTCTCGCACACCTATATATACACACACTTCCCTGTCCCAACGGTTCCACATTCACACATACGCTGTGTCCTTCCACTATAGTTATTATGACTATGTAAACCCTCCTGACAGCTGAGCCCATGATTTCCTTTTTTTTTAAGTAAAAAAAATGCTTTTACCTAGAATAATTCTCTCCCCTTCCATTTGCTCATTTTCTATGTACTTATTAATTTAATCCCAAATTCTTTCCTAGTTGTATAAATCTCTCAAAATATTCATGCCCATTAGGTATTCTAGCAATTTTATCTGCCTTCTGACTAGCTTTCAGTGTAAACTGGTTGATTACTAGACCTGCTGCATGTCTGTCATCTTAGGCTTTCCTTTCACCATCATGCTGGCCAATTCCTTTCATTTCTCTTCTATTAGATTCCCTATTTCCTGGATCCTGTGTCTTTCACTTTCATTACCTAGGTGTGGAGAAATACCTGCTCCAACAGCTTCTTAAGAAAACCCAGGAAGAAAACTTTTAGAAACCCAGAATGTCTGAACAATGTATTGAATCCATGTACACACTTGCCAGCATGGTTTGACATAATTTCCCTTAGCCTTTAAGGCACTGGTTCATTGTCTTCTAGCTTCTAGTGCTCATTCTGAGAAGTCTGATTCTATTTTGATTAGTATGAAACCTGATTTTCTTCTTCTTATTTTTTTAATCTCTGGAAATGTTTAGGATTTTTTCTTTGGCCCCAGTGTATTAAAATTTTCACAAGATGTCTTAATGTAGGTCTATTTTCATTCATCATCCTGGATTCTTTCAATAAAGAAATTCATGTGCTTCAAGTTTGCAGTTTCTTTGGTTGTGTTGGATTTCCTCCCATTTTCTCTCTTTCTGGAATTTCTCTTATGAGACCTTCTAGACTAGTCCTCTTATTTTCCTATTTTATTCAATAAATTTACCTTTTTCTGTACTTTCTGGGAAATTACTGCAGAATTAAATTTCCAAGAGTTTTTTGGCTCTCTGAGTATTCCTTTTTTATAGCTCTTGTTCTTGTTTCATGTGTGTCTTATCTACTTTTATCCCCAAGAATATTAAATAGTCTATTTTCTTCAAGCAGCATTTTCCAGCTTTTTTGTATGTGTGATAAAATATATATAACATTTGCCATTGTAACCATTTTTTAGTGTATGATTTAGTGACATTAATCATCACCACTATCCATTTTCAAATGTTTTTCATCACCCTAAACGGACTCAGTATCCATTAAGTAATAACTCATTTCTTTCTCTCCCCAGCCTGTGGTAAACACTAATAAACTTGTCTCTATGTATATGCCTATTCTAAGTATTTCAAAGTGAGGTCATACAGTATTTGTCCTTTTGTGTCTGATTTATTTTGCTCAGCATAATGTCTTCAAGATTCATCTATGTCATAGCATGTAACAGAACTACTTCATTTCTCTATATGAGTGAATAACAGTCTACTGTATGGATAACTCACATTTTGTTTATTCATTAATCTGTTGAGGGACACTTGGGTTGTTTCCACCTTTGGCTACTATGAATAATGCTGCAGTGAATATTGGTGTACAAGTATCTGAGTCCCTGCTTCCAAGTCTTTTGGGTATGTATTTAGGATTGGGATTGTTGGGTCATATGGTAATTCTATCTTTAACCTTTGGAGGAACCACCAAACTGTTTTCCACAGTAGCTGCACCATTTTACATTCCTACCAGCAATGGATGAGGGTTCTAATTTCTCCGCATCCTTGCCAACGCTTGTTATTTTCCATTTTTGTGATATTAACCACCCTAGTGGGTGTGAGTGGTACCTCAGTATGGTTTTGATTTGCATTTCCCTAATGATTAATGACATTGAGCATCCTTTCACATGCTTAGAGGCTATTTATACACCTTCTTTAGGGAAATGTCTATTAAAGTCCTTTTCCCATTTAATTGCTTGTCTTTCTGTTGTTGAGTTATACTTCTTTATATATTCTGAATTTTAAACTCAAATCAGATATACGGTTCCCCAATATTATCTCCCATTCTATAGGCAGTCTCTTAATTTTATTGATAAAAGTCCTCTGACGCACAAAAACTTTTAATTTTGATGTAAGTCCAATTTATCTATTTTGTCTTTTGTTGCTTGTGCTTTTGGTGTCATGTCTGAGAATCCACTGTTGAAAACTAGGTCCCAAAGCATTGCTGTTGTTAAGTGCTGTCAAGCCGGTTCTGACTCATAGCGACCCTATGTACAACAGAATGAAACACTGCCCAGTCCTGCGCCATCCTCACAATCACTGCTATGTTTGAGTCCACCCCAAAGCATTACACCTATGTTTTGTTCTAAATGTTTTATGGTTTTAGTTTTTACATTTAGACCATTGATCCATTTTGAGTTAATTTTCACATGTGGTGTCAGGTATGTGTCCAGCTTTGTTCTTTTGCACGTTATCTTTTGTATTTTTTCTTGTCTACTCCCATCTATCATCCCTCCCTTTTCCAGTGTCTTGGCAGGGACAAACAGTCACTCCCAACTCACAGCAATTTGAATACAACTCTATTTCCCAGAAACCACTTTGTCAAAGGTTAACATAACCTCTTTGTTGTTAAACTCAATGGATCTTTCAGTTCTTTTCTTATCTGAATTTTTTTAATAGTTTTGATCTTGTTAACCATTTCCTCTAGAGACATTTACAAGTCAGAATTTTTGCCCAATTGCTCACTTGCTCAAAATCATTTAATCGAGCACTAATTCGCTTATTAACAAAAATTTATTGATACCTTCTGTGTGGCAAGTACAGTTTTAAGCACTAGAAATACAGAAATGGACAAAAATAAAGTCTCTTTTTCAGTCTGCTGGGGAGAAAATAGACAATAAACACACAAATATATGTCATGTGGATTTAAGTGGTATAAAGAAAAATAATAAGTCTATTTTATGATGATTCAAAAAACCCTTCTCAAACAGTTCATATGATACCATTTATATTAAGTTCTAGAATAGGCAAAACTAATCTACAGTGGAAAAAAATCAGAATAGTGATTGCCTCTCTGAAGGCAGGAACAGGGATTGACTAAAAATGGGGCTTGACAGAACTTTCTAGGGTGATGGTAACGTTCTATATCCTGCTAGGGGTTTGGGTTACACTATATATGCATTTATTAAAATGCATCAAAGTGGTACACTTAAGGATTATGCATCTCCTTCTATGTAAACTTTACCTAAAATAATTAAAAATACTGAACTCTAATTAATGATATGCAAACTGAAGTGTTGATGGGATAAGTATACTAATATCTGCAATTTATTGAAATGCATTTAGAAATTAGAGATTTGAAATAAAGCTATAAAAGTAAAACTCTTTAAACTTTTCTGTATGTCTGTAAATTTTCATAATAAAATGGGAACAAATGATGAAGGGTAAGGGGATTGGGAGGTGAGTGTAGGCTGACTGGACAGGAGAATCAGGGAAGGCCTCTAGACATATTAGAATGAGGCATTATTTGAGCAGAGACCTGAATATCAGTCATGCAGATATCTGGGCAAAAACATTCCAGACAAAAGTTAGAGCAAATGCAAAGGTCCTGAGGCTCCAAGATCATGCCTGGCCTAATACTCAAATCTTATCCCCAGCCCACAATACTCTTTTTTCAGAATATTCTTCTCAGTTCTGTAACTGTATATATAGCTGCCTCCCTAAAATCACCAGCTGGATGCTCTACAAAGACAGAACTCAATCTCTTCACTCTCTTGCCCCAATTTCAATATTCTTTCTAGAATCAATCTCAGTCAACTATACCACCCACCACCCAGAAGCTTAACCACTATTTGGGGGCTGGGAAACATACAAGAAGCTATTTTTCACTCTCTCTAAAGAAGCAATCCAATACTAACGCACAAATCCGATTTTCCACTGATCTGAACTTTAAATTAGTTTTCGATACACAGAAATTTTCATTTCACGTATGTAACTCTACATAAAGTGAATCAAAATTAAAACTGTGGAGAGTAACGAATTATTTAACAAAAGCACTTGAAGCAGCAGTTCTCAAGCAGGCTGTAAGACCTAGGCATCCATGATTCTACTTTGTAGTCAGATAATAACTAAGTAACTTATCAAAGATAGGAGACACAGGACAAAGAAAAGACTTTTGAGGCAAGAGGAAAGATAATGTAGGGTTGAAAACTGCTGACTCAGAGGATTATACAAGCCAAGTAGTGCCTAAACCAGAAGAATCAACCTCGGCTCCACTCTATTCTTCCACTTCCCCACAACTAATTTCCAACATCCATCTTAATATCAACCTAAAAGTATGCCTTCTACCTTAGTTCAGGCTATCTTAATTTCTCAAACAGATCAGTGGCTTTTAAACTTTTCTGAGCACAGTTTCACCGAGTAACAAATACATTTTACACAAACTGTGTGTACTAGACTGCTATTTACAGATTTTACACACATACACAGACCAGAAAAAACAAAATTTCAGGAAACAATGCTAACTCTTATTACATGTAACACACTCTATTATTTTCTATTTTAATTTATATTGATTTATTTCATTTTTATGTGTTTAAATGCTAGTTAAAACCTGGGTTGCAACCTGCAATCTGAAAAACATTCATCTAGATTTATGCAAAATTCTTCTATGGCAGAGATCTCAAATGGTGAAGCATTTACTTGGCCTCCACAGAATTAAACTTTGTACTCATCATTTTGATTTGGAATGCCTGCTTCTCTCATTTATAAAACAGCCTGGCTGCTATCCTAAATTGTCTCTTTAACCACCAATCAGTCTGTCTATATCACAGCCAGAATGATCTTAATAAAACACAAATATGATTGTCACTCCTCTGCTTAAAATTTTTGAATGTTTACCCATGGTTTTCAGGATAAACTCCCAAACTCTTAGCAGGCATACAAAAATCTACACAGGACTGTTTACTCTTCAGCACTATATACCTTGCTTCCTCAAATGTGAACTCAACCTTGTGATGTGATTAATTACTTTTGTGTGTGGCCTTTCTAGCCATGGTCTTGTGACTCCCACACAGGTGATTGGTGGGGCTGTGCAAATAAGATAATTGTGGCCCAGCGAGGGGACTGGTCAGTGCCTTAAAAGAGAGCCAATTTCAGAGCAGAGAGGACAGCCCACCACCACCAAAGGAGAGATATGCGGCAGAGACCAGCAAGAGACAGCACAGTGGGCTTCCTGGACCATAGAGAGAGAAAGCTGGGTGTCTTTGGGCAGAGCCTAAGGGCCAGGGAGAAGTCAATGCCTGACCCATGAATTTGGGACTTGCCAGCCTCCACAACTGCATGAGCCATTTCCTTTATATGGTTCGTGAGTTCTGTCAGATGTTGCAGCAGATCAGGGAACCCAAAAATAGGAAGCAGAGTACTAAGGCGAGAGGGAGTAGTTGATGTTAGAGATGATGGAGTGGTACAGCAGTTTGGAAAAGTTAGATATTTGGGACATCTTTAACCTCTGCCTCATAGGAACCAGCTTTGTGATAATCCTTATAAAAGAAATTATTCATTTAAGCTGTAACAAAATACTATTTCCTGAGATTACCTTATTCTTTTTTATGACTGCTAGAGATTTGAACATAGAGTTTGCTCTACTTGAAATGAAACCTCTTACCACCTTAAGTGTCATCTCTTCCAGAAAGTATTCTTTGATCTCAACAGCACAGGTCACTTTCCCCTATTTCCCCACTCTGCTGCCTCCCCCATATGTTCCCTCCCACAGCATCCTAAATTTACCTCTAACCCACAGCTTTAATTGTATTGCATAGTCACTAATTCTTTACTTATCTTTACCCCCCATTAGACTATCAGGTTCTTCACATAAGAACAGCTTCATAGGTGCAGTGGCTGACACAAGAGAAACTAGGATAAATGACTACGTTAAATGACAGGAGACCCAGGGACAATGAGAGATTTTTGAGAGAGACAAAAAGTTTGAAATGTTTGAGAAAACAGAACAAAGAATTTCTAATAAGCAGCTGAAAATAAGCTTAGGGGAAAGGTCTGGCCTGGATATACAGATTTAATAGTTAAAGTTAAGGGAGAGTTCAAGATCTACTAGGGGAAGCACATGCAGAAGACCAAAGCAGAAAACACAACTAAGCAGTGGACAAAATCACATGAGCAAGTTTAAAGCACTGAGAACAGGCAGTTCAGAAAGTGGGAAGAGGGTCTGGCCACAGTGACTATGATGAGAAAATCAGGGCAATAGAGTAATTAGAGACCTCTAGAGGTACAGTTTCGACAGCTAAGTGTAGACATTCTGATGGCTGTGAGTTGAATTGGAAAGCACTTTTATCACAGTATACTCTCTATACTTTTATTACAGCATTTTGAAATTATAGTGTATATATGTCTTTACAGTCTGGACCACTAAATAAGTTTCTTGAAGGCTTAGCCAATGAATCATTAATTAATATTAGTGAAGGAGTCCTGGTGGCACAGTTGTTAAGTGCTCGGTTGTTAACAGAAAGGTAGGTAGTTGGGAGAAAGATGTGGCAGTTTGCTTCTGTAAAGATAACAGCTTGGAAACCCTAAGGGGCAGTTTTACTCTGTCCTAGAGGGTCGCTATGAGTCAGAATCCATTTGGTGGCAATGGGTTTATCATTAGTAAGTAAACAAAGGTCAGCCAGGTAAACAGACAAAAACGCTGATAAGTAAATATGGGAGAGATGACAAAATAGAATACATGTATAGAATACTCCTAGAAAATCATGGTGAGTTGAATAACAACAGTGTGAAATTTTAAAAAGATTAAGAATTATTAAGCAGCAATAAAAAGCAACTGAGTTTGTAATAAAGCCAATCAGGAGGGTTATGCGACTTTCCCCTAGCATCCTGTATTTATCGAGCAAAAGGATGGCTACTTATTCTCAAGTTTGGGGCCTGGAGAGGAGACCATAAAAAAGCTAGAGAACCGAGATTAGTATGTAGAATGTCATGGTCACTTTTATTTAAAAGTAAACATAAACCACTGTTCAATCTGAGAGGGTTTTACAAGTTAACATCAGGTTTTTTTCTCTTTTCCCTTCATACTGCACACACTTCAACAAGATGAGCAACCGTTCTTAGTTCCAAAAAGCGCTTCTTTTTGTAGTAGACAAATTATATGAATCATATTCTAATTCAGATTTCAAACTACTGAACTATGGAAAAATTTTATACATACATTTTATGGTCAGATTTTATCAAAATATTGCTACTTAAATCTAAATTAAACAATAAAAAATAAAAATTTAACATACCCTGATGGCAAAGTTTCTGTGTTGGTATTTCCAGACTGTTGCTGTATAGGTTCTACACACCCATCTGACTGTCTTATCTTGGCTGCTTCAAAAGCAGAACTATTTCCTGAATTAGAGGTGGCAAGGTCTAATGTACTTCTGGCTTCTGATTCCAATGCTGCACTGGTAGAAGGAATACATTCATTGTTTTCTGAGGAAGTCGGTATTTCTTGAATTGAAGGATCTTCGACAGTAGTACTAGTGCAATTTGAAGACAAGGTGGTTTCTTCAGATACTACTGCAGTCCCCGTGGCAGATGTATTATCAGTTGGTGCAGATGAGGATGACTCTCCGTTAACTACAAAGGGAAAGTTCATAAGATGATTAATCAGGTAATGACAAAGAAATTAATTAACTAATCAATCAATCATACTTATTCAGAGCCTATAAAATAAGACAAATTATATTTCCAAGTTGCGCACATTTGAGGAATAAATACCATGTAAATGATAAAAATGTTACTTAAAGAAAGAAAACAACACTAGGATAATGTATGTTTTGCCTCTGAATTATCAATTCTAAGGGAAAGTCTGCATGGGCTATATAAAAACTTGAAAATGATCCCTTTCAATCTCTCTTTTCTCAGGCAAATGGTAGCTAATATCTAAAGAATTCTTCTGCCAGTAGTAAGGAATATACAGTGATATTAATTCTTAAGACAGTATTATTGGGAATGGCAAAAAAAATCCAAGAACCCATTCTACACTGAGAAATAGCCCAGAACTGGGACCCAGTGACATAATTTTCTCTATTTTCACTTTCAATTTAAGTGTGATTAATCTATTTCGACTATGTATCGCTATAAAGTGAGTCAAATTAAAACTGCAAGGAGAATAGATTGAATAAAAACCTATTAGAAGACTATACATCAAAGATCTAATTGCAATGTGGAAGGAAAACATAATTATGAGTTATGGAATCTTCAGGTAGATTTTTTAAAAAAGAAAAAGACTTAAATGGTGGAAAGAGAGAAGAGGGTGCTATTTAGGGAACGGTTTGTGAAAAAGAACAAAAGCAGACTCAATCAAGTTCTGTACCAAATATGGTGAAGAGAATGGCTGTGGGAGAAAAAAAATCAACAACCAAATTCCAAAAAAATATTTACAGAAGTACTCTGTACTCAACACTGTTAGATACTATGGGGAAATCAAAAGAGAGTGTGCATAGAGTCTAAATTCTGGTGCCTCCTATATCATGTTCACTTACATGCATTATCTCATTTAATTTTCACTCTTCAATGGTATGGAAATTAATTTCCACAAAAGAAAGGATTAGCAGTAGTCTTTTTCAAAGCAAAATAGCATTAAACAGAAAAGAGGTATATTTGAGTAATGGTATAATCCAGTCCAACAAGAAACAGACATAAATCTTTCTGCACACTAAAACAAAGCACATGAAACAAACTGTTAGGAAAAGACAAAGTAAACTAAATATTAAACAGCACCATTCAGTTGTCCGAGGCAAAAACTTCTCTCTCATATCTTATTTAACAGCAAGTACTCTCAGTCCTTCTTTCCATCTGCACTACCACTCCATTGTGGGGTTAACTTCACCAAAGAATTTGGTTTTTATCCTTGGTTCCTGAGAGATAATCTCTAAAACCCTGGAATTTCCCCAGTGGTTGAAGTGTCTTTTATCTGTAAGGGTTCCATATCAGACCTGACAGGTTATGCTACTGAGGTGACTCAGGTGGGACTGGCCATGATAGAAAGACCCACCATGTGATTATCAGCTGACCTCAAGGGAGGGGGAAATGATTCAATCAATCATATGTACATAATGAGGCTCCAATAAAGGTTCTAGACAAAGAAATTCCATGGGCTTCCTGGTTGATGAAAGACATCAATGCATATAGGAGGTCTGTGTAGCCCTTTTAGGGACATGGATGCTCCACCTTGGAAATCTTTCCAGACCTCGCCCTATGCATCTCTTCATTTGTATCCTTTTTACTAGAATAAAACTGTAAGTATAGAATTTTCCATGAGTTGTTATAGCAAACTATCAAACTCAAAGGAACAACAGCATCATTACCATTTTCTTGGTAAGAAAACTGATAGTTATATGTTCATAAAAATTGCTCTTCCCCCACTCACAATTGATTTGTTGTCCAAGGACTATGCTAGATGTTTTAGATCAATTATCTCATTTAAATTTCAAAACAATCCAATAAGGTATTATCCTTATTGTAAATGAGGGAGCTAAAATTTGACGACGTTAAATGTGTCCAAGGTCACACAATTAATAAATGGTAGAGCTTGATTTGAACCCAGTCCTGTGAGAAACCAAATCTAATCTTTTCACTACGTCCTGACTGTCTCCCATTTTAGGTTAAAATAACTACCAATATTTAGCCGCTAAACATGTCAAGTGGGTCCCATTAATCAAGACTCAAAAGAAGAGAAAGAAAAAATAACCCTTACGCAACTGTGTCTCTGGTGAAAAGAAATCACTTGTTTTAAACTCTTTAGTACTGGCCCATAATCCCTTATCTGAACCTGTTGGGGCCAGGTTTCAGAATCCATAACTTTTAAAAATTTAGAAATGTAATTATTATACATATGTTGTATATTATACTAATACCTGAGTGGGTTCTGATGTTAACATTAATATTTCTGCAGCAAAATTTAAGTATACTCACACTAAGTGTAATAAATGAAAACTATAAATAGCCTCATGTCAGTTCTAGCCATTTTGCCATTAAATAAGTTTATCAAACAAACAAAAAAACCACTTCAAGTTTTAGAGATTTCAGAATTTTGAAAGTATAAGTAAGGGATTAAAGACATGTAATATGTTATACAGGGAATATGGACAACTCCAGTACTGCTGCAACTTCTAACGTCCGACAAGGAAAACCAATCTTTAAAGTCCTTAATTAGAAAGAGGAATAATATTTTGTTAACACCATAAAGGGAAAGGGATATCCCCCACTGCTTGAAAGGTACCTGGATTCATCCTCCTAATAAGAGATGGGAGATCATACAAGGACATCAGTCAAGTGGTTGCTACCAACAGAGAAGGTTCCGGAAGTCTTTTAAGTCAGCCAATGGAATGAATACAGTTGAAAAGTTTTGTCAGATGCCGCCAACAATAATCAGAGAAGATGAAAGCATTATCACTAAGTTGGTTGAGGAAATACTATTTCAAGCCTATTACAGTATGAAAGACGAACAGGTTAACAACTTTGAGACACTATAATAAACACATCAAAGTGAATAGGAAAGCAAAGTGCACACAGTCAAGAGCCATAGGGATGGATGTCAGTGAAAGCTCTTCTACCTCCTGGCTGTGACCTCTCTGTGCATCAGTTTTGTCAACAGAAAAAAGGGAAAACTAGTACCCATTTCAAAGAGCAATTTTAAGATCTAAATCAGTAAACAGTCTATAGTGTTTAGAACATGTACAGCACAAATGTTGGCTATTATCATTATTAGTATTCAGATTGTCCTCGGTTTCCTTACAGTTGTTCTGAATGTCATGGGAATTACTTATGGCGGAGTCTTCATTTCTATTTCCCCCTATGTGTGTTATAATTTTCACCTTGAAATTTCCAGCAAGGATAAAAGAGAGGCATGTGGGAAGTAAATTTATTCTCACTGGCTAGAGTCTATAAAGTATGTGACAAGCTGTAGAGTGTCCTGGTGGCACAATGGTTAAAGTGCTCTGCAGCTAACCAAAAGGTCAGAGGTTCAAACACACCAGCCACTCCGTGGGAGAAAAGACCTGGTGATCTGCTCTCATAAAGATTTCAGATTCGGAAACCCTACGTGGCAGTTCTACTCTGTCTTATAGGGTCTCAATGAGTTGGAATTGAGTCCATGGCACACAACGACGTTGTAGAAGAGATTCTACAATGAGGGGTGCCTCAGTAATTCGTTTTTATATCAACATCTGAGTATGTCTAAATGCTAAAACATGCAATGACTAGTGGTAAATGAGTATTTTTACCAATCACTAAAACAGCTACATATTCTAGGAATAAGAGCTATCCCTCCAAATTTCAGACACTTTAAATGAAGTGAGACGACAAGAATGAAATAATGGTGGTATAAGACTTTCTGAAACGAACATTCAGTATTACACTTTTCATGAACTAGAAGTGGACTTAATAAATGATTGGCTCTGCTATCTAATTACTGCCAGAAAGAATAGAACCGGATCAACCTTTATGAATATAAAGACAATCCCATATGACAAATCAACTCATTTATTTGGTCACATAGGGGCATTATTATTATTATTATTATTTACAACCTCTTTGGAGAGTTCACAAGAAGTAGGTGTTTAAAATTTAATTTTTTTTATGGGTAGAAAACTAGTTCTTTTTCTTTTTTTCTTGTTTTTGATGTGGCTAAGGTAAATATTTGATAAAAACCTTTCTAGGAGGCCACAAAGCAACCTTAAATAAAATCCAAAAACATTAAGATAATACAAAGTATCTTTTCTGATCACAATGCCATCAAAGTAGAAATTAATAACAGGAAGAGCAAGAAAAAAAAAATGCACGGAAACTGAATAACACCCTGCTTAAAAACCACTGGGTAATAGAAGAAATCAAAGATGGAATAAAAAAATTCCAGAATCAAACGAGAATGAAAACACATCACACAAAAGCCCTTGGGACAAAGCAAAGGCATTGCTCAGAGGTCAATTTACAGCAATAGATGTACACATCAAAAAAGAAGAGACAGAATCAGAACATTAGCTACACAACTCAAACAAACAGAAAGAGAACAGCAAAAGAAGCCCACAGCCACCAGAAGAGAGGAAATAATAAAGATCAGAGCAGAAATAAATGAAATAGAGAATAGAAAAATAATAGAACCAACAAAACCAAAAGTTGGTACTTTGAAAGGATCAACAAAATTGACAAACCATTGGTCAAACTGACAAAAGAAAAACAGGAAAGGACCTAAATAACCCAAAAAAGAAATGAAATGGGGAACACTACAACAGATCCAACTGAAATAAAAAGGATCATAACAGAGTATTATGAAAAACTATGCTCCAATAAATTTGAAAACCTACAGGAAATGGACAAATTTGTAGAAACACACTACCTACCCAAACTAACACAAACTGATGTTGAAAATCTGAACAGACCCAGAAAGAGAAGAGATGGAAAAGGTAATAAAAAAAAAAAAAACTCCCAACAACAAAAATCCCTGGCCCAGATGGCTTCACTGGAGAATTCTACCAAACATTCAGAGAAGAGCTTATACCAGTACTACCCAAATTATTTCAGAACATAGAAAAGGAAGAGATACTTTCAAATTCATTCTATGAAGCCAGCATAACCCTGATACCCAAACCAAAGACACCATAAAAAAAGAAAATTACAGACCAATCTCTCTCATTAATATAGATGCAAAAATTCTCAACAAAATTCTAGCCAACAGAATTCAGCAACATATCAAAAAAACTAATACACCATGACCAAGTGGAATTCATACCAGGTATGCAAGGATGGTTCAACATTAGAAAATCAATCAACGTAATCCTTCACATAAATAAAAGGAAAGAAAAGAATCACATGATAATCGATGCAGAAAAGGCATTCAACAAAGTCCAACACCGATTCCTGATAAAAACTCTCAATAAAATAGGTATAGAAGAGAAATTCCTCCGCATAAAAACAGCATCTATACAAGACCAACAGCCAAAATCATTCTTAATGGAGAGAGGCTGAAAACATTCCCCTTCAGAACAGGAACAAGACAAGGATGCCCTTTAATTGGGGGGTGGGGGGAGTGGGGGCACAGGGAGACTCTTCTAGGCTAACAAAATTTCAAATTCTCGTGGAATCCAGATTTTCTGGAGCCACGGAGACTGGATAAACCCCCAAAACCACTGGCCTAAGATGATCTTTAAAGCAAAAATATCCCCTGAAATCATCTTAAAACCAAACAACTGTTTAGCTTAACTTATAAAAAATGTCTGCCTTGAGCATTATGCTCTTTTAAGAACTATCTATATGGGATCACACTGACAACAGCAGCTCAAGAGATTAGATAGGAACCTTAGGGGGCAGTGAGTTTATGTTAATGGGCGAAGAACAACTCAGAAAATGAGGGTGAGAATGGTTGTACAACTCAAAGAATGTAATATAGTGTCACTGAATTGTACATGTAGAAACTGTTGAATTGGTTTATGTCTTGCTGTGTATATTCTCAACAACAACAAAAAAATAAAAATTCAAAACGACAACAACAATTTAAAAAAAACCTTTCTAGGCTAAAAAGCATTGCATTCCCTCTTTATTGTGAGAACTCTGGTTCTCAGACAAACTATTTTTCTATGTGTTGATCAATTTTTTAAAAGAGTAAATTATTTGTTTTTCCTATAGGTACTTCCTCAGAGTATATTTTTACTTTTTTATTATTGTACTTTAGATGAAAGTTTACAGAGCAAACTAGCTTTTCATTAAACAATTAGTACACATATTGTTTTGCGACACTGGTTACCAACCCCATGACACGTCAACACTCTTTCTTGATCTTGGGTTCCCTATTACCAGTTTTCCTGTCCCCTCCTGCCTTCTAGTCCTTGTCCCTGGGCTGTTGTGCCCCTTTAGTCTCGTTTTGTTTTAAGGGTCTACCTAATCTTTGGGTGAAGGGTGAACCTCAGGATCAGAGTATATTTTTAAAACTTTAAAATTTAATTTTTCAATTAACCAAACCATGAGCAAGCTGATTATTTACAAAGTGTTGCATCGCCCACCTACAGAATGACTTAACTGATTTGCACTATGATTTTATGCCATTATGCTACACTGAAGAATGATGTAAGATAGAGTTTTCTGAAACTCATTGTTGTATTTACTCTCATATTTTTGAGGAAACTGTTCATATATTGTGTCTTTTCATACAGATCCATAAAAACTTAAGTATTAGAAATAGCAACTGTTTTAACTAGTCTGCTCTTAACTTAGAGACAATTGTGAATAAGATAATGTTTCCTTTTCTGCTTTGCTAATAGAAATCTCAGAGTCACATGTTTTCATTAGAAAGTAGACTAGACTCAGGGAAAAAAATGCATTTTACTCACTAATTTCATCCTGGTTATATCTATTTATCTTCCCTTTCTTTTCCAGCTACCCTAAATTTATGTCTAAAAAGTTCAACTTATTATAGGTACTTTGGAAACCATCTTTAAATCCATTCTTTTTTTTTTTAAAAGGGTAGCATATAATAAACATATTAAAGAAAACAAACAAAAAATACTAGTCATACATGTCAGTTACCGTGTTTACAAAAACTCTCAGGGTAATTCTTGGTAAATATCCTCCCATCCTTGGGTATAAATATACAATTAAGTCTTACCTGTAAATGTCATTACTGAATTGCTTCTTTACATCTATTTTTAAATACTTTCCCATAAACAGACAAACAAGAAAGAACACAGACTCTGGAATCAAAAGACCAGGATTCCAATTCCAGCTTCAACACATATTAGCGCTGTATTTTTACACAAATAACGCACGTCTTCTACGTTTGTTTGCCAACCGCAGCGCCCCCAAAGGGTATTTTCACAAGCAAGTTATGCTAATATTTTTTTTTACATCAACTGGTAAAAAAAATCTGGCATAGCTGCACTTATGAAAATACCTGACGGGGGAGGGCACGGTTGGCAAACAAACGTAGAAGGTGTGCGCTATTTGTGTAAAAATATGTTAATCTTAAGCAAGTGCTAAGATGTTTGAGTTTCAGGAGACTCATCTGAGTTAATATATAATCAGACAAAAAAGAACTTATTGATTTTACAGCTGAGTCCACTGATAGGGTTATAGAGGAAATCATCTTTAAATATTCCTTCTGTAATAGAATAAAGCTTACTTTTGAAAAATATAAAAACTACAAGTATCATTTTTCTTAAGTTACATAACAAGAAAAAAACTGTAATATTGAAACACAGGTTAAAGGAAGTATTCATTACTAACTGTTACTAATAAATCAATGAATTCATTAAAGTTCTTTTGGAAATATATTTTATATCATGAATTAAATAGTATATTTTGTGGCACAAAGCCTGCGAATCTAGGTATCATATAAGCACTTATATAGGAAATGTGTTGTGACTCCAAACTAATACATTTTGGAATATCTTTCTAAATAATCTAGAGAAATTCAAATTATTAGAAAAAAACTTCAGGATTTTAATTTTAAAATTTTTATCACAGAACAGAAAATGAAGAAAGATCGAACAAAAAGAGAAGTGTAGGTATACACATAAACCTTAATTAGCCTTTCATTTAAACAACATGTCATAAATAGCCATGCTTACCAGTGTCACTGGCAGGCTCAGATGTGTGTGGTTTTGGAGCTGGTGTATTTTTGGGTCTGGCAGCAACCCGAGACAGAGATGAAGATGTATTGTTGTCTCCATTAACTACATATGAACAGTGTGAGTTTTGGACTACAGTGCTTGTAGGTACATGATTATCTATTCCATTAGTACCTTCAACAGCCAACCTTTAAAAAAAAAGATGCCTTACTTCAATCAGTTAAGTACAATTAAACAATGTTTCACCAGAATAGTTCAAGAAATATTTACCAAGTTCTTAATAGTCAAGCAAAGTACTAGGTATAGAGAATAATGAACAAAAATATGGCAAGCTTTTATCACATTAAAGTTTAAATCACTTTCAATTCTAAGTGCATCTACGCTGCTAGATAAAATAAATAATAAGACATATAGTTGGTCAAAATTAACTCACTCCCTCAAATTAATGTTCAAATTGTATATTTTAAATATTTAAGTTTAAGAATATTAATCTTTAAATGCTCTAAAAGTAGTTTCAAAAAGCAATGCTTATGAAACTTATAATAACCAATTCCAAACATAAGTATTGTAATTTTAACAAATACTGAAAAATATGCTGAAAAAGTCTTCAAATATTAATTACCAATTATTATATGCTAGGCACTGAAATTATCAGTATGTGATGATCAGAAAAAGCTAAATATTATATCTAATAGAGTTAGAAGAATTTAGTGTATAAATAACCACAAAAAAAAAACAAAAAACCAAATAAAAACTACAATTATAAAATCAAACATTCTAAATCTTACTGGCAGTGAATGGGGAGTCAGGCAATAATCATGTAAGTCACCACAACAGTTTTTCCAAAATACACGGGACTCTAATAATTTCCTAACTGATCTCTCTGCTTCCACTCTTGCCACACTATCTGTTCTCCACAGAGCAGCCTGATCTATCTCCTTACAAGCTCCTTACTATGTCAATTTTACTGAATACAAAAAAAATGCTGAGAAGTTTTCAAATGTTTATTACAAACTGTTGTATACCAGGCAATGAAGTTACAATGACAAAATGATCAGAAAAGATTAAATATTATACTCTAGAGTTAGAAGAACTTACAGAGCGTAAATTAACTGCAAATAAACTCACGATTCTGCACTTGTTATTTCCTCTGCCTGGAATGCTCTTCCTGCAAAACTCTGCATGGATGATTCACTCCTGGCTTTTTTATGTTAGCTCAAATGGCACTTCCTAAGTGATGACTCCCTGACATCTCTCTTTAAAACAGGCTCCTTTCTATTCCTGTCACCTTGTCTTGTTTCAATGATTCTATAGTTCTTTTTTTTTTTTTTTAATTGTACTTCAGGTGAAGGCTTACAGAACAAATAGTTTCTCATGAAACAGTAGTACACATATTGTTTTATGACATTGGTTAACAACCCCACAACATGTCAACCCTCTCCCTTCTTGAACTTTTCTTTTGGTGACAATATACATAGCCAAAGATACACCATTTCAAAAATTTCTATGTACACATTCAGTGACATCGACTACGCTCTTCCAATTGTGCTGCTATTCTCATTTTAGATGAAGGCCTACAGAACAAAATAGTTTCTCATTTAACAGTTAGTACGCATGTTGCCCTATGAAAAATGGTTAACAACCTCACAACGCATCAACACTATTCCTTACACAATCTTGGGTTCCCTATCACCAGCTTTCCTGTCCCCTTCTGCCTTCTGGCCCTTGTCCCTGGACTGCTGTGCATCATTAGTCCCATTTGGTTTTATGTGGCTGTCCACTCGCCGGCTGAACGGTGAACCTTGGAAATGACTTCACCACTGAGCTAAAAGGGCGTCTGGGGGCCATACTCTCAGAGTTTCTCCAGTCTCCTTTAGGCCAGTAAATCTGGTCTTTTTTTTTGAGTTAGAATTTTGTTCTACATCCTTCTCCAGCTCTGTCCAGAACACTCTGTTGTGATCCTGGTCAGAGCAGTCAGTGGTGGTAGTCAGGCACCATCTAGCTGTACTGGACTCAGTCTGGTGGAGGCCTTGGTAGCTGTGGTCCATTAGTTGATTCTATAGTTCTTATTGCTATCTCTGACTAGCTTATTTGTTTCTCCACTTGTTTACATCTACCTTTATCCCATCAGAATGTAAATATCATGGAAACAGGGAAGGTATTCCCAGAGCTTGGACTAGTGTCTGGTACCAAACCACAACCTACTGCCATCGAGTCGATCACAATTCCTAATGACCCTACAGGACAGAGCACAACTGCCCCACAGGGTTTCCAAGGAGCAGCTGGTGGATTCAAATTGTCGAGCTTTTGGTTAGCAGCCGTCACTCTTAACCACTGCACCACACGGCACCAATCAAGCACTCAATAACTATTTGCTGAATGAACAAATGAATGCCACCCTCCCCTCCCATCACTTAGATATTTGGAATAAGATACGTGCAGAAATACGGGCAGGTAAAGTCTGAAAAAAGCTCCCCAGGTGATTCTGGTTGTACACCTCTCCCACCCACCCAGTGGGAGTCAGGGATCCAGGAGTTCAGGTAAAAGAACCTATCAGAAGTTCTTCTGGTGCTACAGAACTACTCTTTCATTCAAGATGTGTTACAACATAATAAACACGTGACTCAAGTTCCTTTATGCATCGAAACTCTATTTCAAAAACTATATAAACATACATAGAAACACTAATACTTTTTGATCTAATTGTACTCTTTTGATGCTTAATTTTCTCAATATAAGTTATAATATGAATACTAAATATATTTATTTAAGCCAAATAAATATTCAGAAGACAAACTTATTTGTTCTTTGATGAGACTCATTCAATGGCGATTTAGAAGAATGGTATTACTAGCTCCGTAAATTAATAAAGGCCATGCTTTATCACATATCAAAGTGCTTTTTCGAATGCAAAAATGTTAATTTTACAGAAATATATATTTTTTAATATTTCCAGGTGCTAATCCATTATAAGGAAGCCTGGTGGCATAGTGGTCAAAGCGGTTGGCTGCTAACTGAAATGTCAGCAGTTTGAACCCACCGACAGCTACATGGGAGAAAGATGTGGCAGTTTGTAAAGATTTACAGCTTGGAAGCCCTATGGGGCAGTTCTACTCTGTCCTATAGGGTTGCAATGAGTCAGAACCGACTCGACAGCAGTGGGTTTGGTTAATTCCCTTATATTTGAACTATTAAATGCTATTAAATGCTTTTATTCCAATTTAAATATTTCAAACAGAGCTCCTATGAAATTGAATGCCAGGGAGTTTTTGAAAATGGCAGGATGATTTTTGAGGGAAGACCACAATCCGTGGAGAATCTATCTTCTAGTGATCTGAAAGAAGCTGCCAATTCAGGCAACAATAAGATAACTATTCTTCCACAGTATCTGATTCTCTCTAGGATTTTATCAATAAAATATGCCTGGAGATTTTAATAAGCCATTTTCCAATAAAAAAAGAATGAGGCACTTGATACACGCTACAACATGGATGAACCTTGAAAACATAATGTTAATTAAAAACAGTCAGTCACAAAAGGTCACATATCCAACGATTCCATTTATGTGAAATGGCTATAACAGGCAAAAAACAGCCACAGAAAGTAGGTTTGTCGTTGCCAGGAGCTGGGAAGAAGGAAGAATGGAAAGGGACTGCTCATGGGTATGGAGTTTCTTTATGGGGGTGATGAGAATATTCTGAAAATAGACAGTGACTGTGCTTGTATAAGTCCGAATATACTAAAAAGCACAGAAATGTACTCTTTAAAAGGGCGAATTTTATGGTATGTGTATTATGTATCAATAAAGCTGTTGTTTAAAAAAAAAACTATTTTCACAAGAATTCAGTCAAATGACATATTTAGGTATAAACTTTTAAATTCAGTGGCAAATTCTAAACAAAAATGAAAGTTAAAAACTTCAAATATGGAAAATGTTACATCATGTTGCCACAAATACTAAAATAAATGTTTCTACCTTATAGCTGTCCTTGCTGAAGGCTCTCCATTTTCATGTAAGGCATCACCATTTTGCTGTATTTCTACTGAACAAGAAAAAAATACACTAGGTTTTTACATACTTCCCACTGACTTTTTTCCCTTGAATTTTAAAAACACATAAAGTTAGCTTACTGGTTGGAGACGAGCTGCAGTTTGCTAGATTTTCTTGCTCAACCACCAATCCATCAAGTACAACTGTCAATTCACCAGTTTGCACTATACCATTCTTGTTTTCCAACGAAAGTTTTAATTGTTCTTTCACTCTTTCCACTAGGAAAAAAAATCCTAATTTAAAAGCTGTGGCCACATACAGAAGTACATTTAGAAATAAAAATTATGTTTTAACAATTACTATAATTCAGTACTTGACAGTTATATTTGGAAGAAATTATCTGCATTTTTATCTGTAGCCCTTCTATACTCCAGGATTACCCTCTTTCACAGCCAGTTAAATATGCTCCCCACACTCTTTCAATATCATCTTTAATTACTCCTTTGCACAGTATAAACTCACAGAATATATAAGTAATCTAGATAATACCATACTATGACACTTCAGCATACTACATTTTTAACTTAATATATCCTGATCATGAAGTCATATCAGTTATAAAGATTTTCCTCAGTCCCTTTTTTTTTTTAAATGGTGAATTATAGGTAATTTTTCTTTTGTCATTTGTTTTTATTGTACTTTAGATGAAGGTTTACAGAATAAACTAGTTTCTCATTCAACAGTTAGTACACATATTATTTTATGGCATTGGTTAACAACTCCACAACATGTCAACATTTTCCCTTCTCGACCTCGGGTTCCCTTATAAGACCTTTCCTGTCCCCTCCTGGCTTCTAGTCCTTGTCCCTGGGCTGTTGTGCCCCTTTAGTCTCGTTTGTTTTACGGGCCTTTCTAATCTTTGGCTGAATGCTGAAACCCAGGAATAACTTCATTACTGAGCTAAAACGGTGTCGAGGGACCATACCCTTGGGGTTTCTCAGGTCTCTGTCAGGCCAGTAAGTCTGGTCTTTTGTGAGTTAGAATTCTGTTTTACATTTTTCTCCACCTCTGTCCAGGCCCCTCTATTGTGATCCTTGTCAGAGCAGTCAGGGGTGGTAGCCAGGCACCATCTACTCGTACAGACTCAGTCTGGTGGAGGCCATGGTAGATGTGGTCCATTAGCCCTTCGGACTTATCTTTCCCTTATATCCTTAGTGTTCTTCATTCTCCCTAGCTCCCGAAGGGGTGAGATCAGTCGAGTATCTTAGATGACCACTCACAGGCTTTTAAGATCGCAGGCGCTACTCACCAAGGTAGAAAGTAGAACATTTTCTTTATAAACTATGTTATGCCAATTGAGCTAGATGGTCCCCAAGACCACGGTCCCCACAGCCCTCCAGCCAGCAATTCAGTCCCTCAGGGAGTTTGGATGTGTCTATGGAGCTTCCATGACCTTTCCTTGTACAAGTTGTGCTGGCTTCCCCAGTATTGTGTACTGTCTTACCCTTCACCAGAGTTACCACTGATCTATTGTCTATTTAGTGTTTTTCCATCCCCATCCCTCCCATTCCTTGTAACCAACAAAGATTGTTTCTTCTTGTGTGTAAACTTTTTCATGAGTTTATACAGTAGTGGTCTCATACGATATTTGTTTGTGATTGATTTATTTCACTCAGAATAATGCCCTCCAGATTCCATCCATGTTATGAGATGCTTCCCAGATTCATCATTGTTCTTCATTGCTGGGTAATACTCCATTGTGTGTATGTACCATAGTTTGTTTATCCATTCATCTGTTAAAGGGATCTAGGTTATTTCCATCTTTTTTCCTATTGTGAACAATGCTGTAATGAACATGGCTGTGCATATGTCTATTCATGTGACAACTCTTATTTTTCTAAGATCTGGTCCTAATTGTGGAATTGCTGGATCATATGGTATTTCTATTTCTAGCTTTCTAAGGAAGCGCCATATCATTTTCCAAAATGGTTGTATCAATTTGCGTTCTCACCAGCAGTGCCTAAGAGTTCCAATCTCCCCACAGCCTCTCCAACATTTGTTATTTTCGGTTTTTGTGATTCATGCCAGTAGTGCTGGGGTGAGATGGTATCTCATTGTTGTTCTGATTTGCATTTCTCTAATGGCTAGTGATCGTGAGCAATTCCTCATGTGTCTGTTGGCTGTGTGAGTGTCTTCTCTGGTGAAGAGTCTGTTCATTTCCTTTGCCCATTTTTTAATTGGATCATTTGACCTTTTGTTATAGAGGTGTTCGATTTGCTTGCAGATTTTATAGATTAGATCTTTGTCTAATTGTAATGGCCAAACTTTTTTTTCCAGTCTGTAGGTTCTCTTTTTACTCTTTTGGTGAAATCTTTTGATAAGTGTAAGTGTTTAATTTTTTGAAGATCCCAGTTATCTAGCTTATCTTCTGGAGTTTGTCTGTTGTATGTTATGGTTTGTATCCTGTTAATGCCTTGTATTAGGGCCTCCAGCATTGACCTTATTTTTTCTTCTATGAACTTTATAGTTTTTGGCTTTATATTTAGGTCTTTGATCCATTCTGAATTAGTTTTTGTACATGGTGTGAGGTATGGGTCTTGCTGTATTTTTTTGGAGATGGACACCCAGTTTTGCCAGCACTGTTTGTTAAAAAGACTGTCTTTTCCCCATTTGATGGATTCTGGGACCTTGCTGAAGATCAGGAGACCACGGGTGGATGGATTTACATCTGGGTTCTCAATTCTGTTCCATTGGTCAATGTATCTGTCATTGTACCAGTACCAAGCTGTTTTGACTACCACAGCTGTATAGTAGGTTCTGAAGTCAGGTAGTGCGAGTCTTCCTACTTTCTTCTTCTTCTTCAATAGTGCTTAACTTATCCAGGGCGTCTTCCCTTTTCACATAAAGTTAAGGATTAGTTTTTCCATCTCTTTAAAGAATGTTGTTGGTATTTGGATCGGGATTGCATTGTATTTGTAAATCGCTTTGGGTAGAATTGTTATTTTCATGAGGTTGAGTCTAACTATCCATGAGCATGATATGTTTTTCTATTTATGTAGATCTCTTTTGGTTTCTTGCAGTAGTGTTCTGTAATTTTCTTTGTATACGTCTTGTACATCCCTGGTTAAATTTATTCCTAAACATTTTATTTTTTTAGGGGCTATTATAAATGGTATTTCTTTCCTGATTAATTTTTCATTGTTCTCTTTATTGGTGTATGGGAATCCAACTGATTTTTGTATATTTGTCTTGTATCCTAAAACTCTGCTGAATCTATTAGTTCTAATAGTTTTCTCATGGTGTCTTTAGGGTCTTCTATGTATAGTATTGTATTGTCTGCAAACAGGGACAGTTTAACTTCTTCATTACCAATTTGGGTGCCCTTTATTTCTTTTTCTTGCCTTACTGCTCTAGCTAGGACTTCCAGCACAATATTAAATAGTAGTGGTGATAAAGGGCATCCTCGTCTTGTGCCTATTCTCAAGAGGAATGTTTTCAGCCTCCCTCTATCAAAATGATGTTGGCTGTTGGTTTTGCATACATGCTCTTTATTATGTTCAGAAATTTCCCTTCTATGCCTATTTTATACAGAGTTTTTATCAGGAATGGGTGTTGGACTTTGTCGAATGCCTTTTCTGCACTGACTGAGATGATCATGTGATTCTTTTCTTTCCTTTTATTTATGTGGCGGATTATGTTGATTGATTTTCTAATGCTGAACCAGCCTTGCATACCTTGAATAAATCCTATTTGGTCATGCTGTATTATTTTTTTGATATGATGCTGAATTATATTGGCTAGAATTTTGTTGAGAATGTTTACATCTATATTCATGAGAAATACTGGTCTTTAATTTTTCTTTTTTGTGGTGTCTTTGCCTAGTTTTGATATCAGGGATATGCTGGCTTCATAGAATGAATTCTGAAGTGTCGCTTCCTTTTCTATGTTCTGAAATAGTTTTGAGTAGTCCTAGTGTAAGCTCTTCTCTGAATGTTTGGTAAAATTCTGCAGTGAAGCCATCTGGACCGAGGCTTTTTTGTTGTGGTTGTTGGAAGCTTTTTTATTACCTTTTCCATCTATTCTCTCGTTATGGGTCTGTTCAGATTTTCAACATCATTTTGTGTTAGTTGGGGTAGGTAGTGTGTTTCTAAAAATTTGTCCATTTCCTCTAAGTTTTCAAATTTGTTGGAGCATAGTTTTTCTTAATACGCTGTTATGATCCTTTTTATTTCAGTTGGGTCTGTTGTAATGTCCTCTATTTTCTTTCTTATATGGGTTATTTGGGTCCTCTCCTGTTTTTCATTTGTCAGTTTGGCCAGTGGTTTGTAGATTTTGCTGATTCTTTCAAAGAAACATCTTTTGGTTTTGTTAATTCTTTATACTGTTTCTCTATAATCTGTTTCATTTATTCCTATTCTGATCTTTATTATTTCTTTTCTTCTGGTGGCTGTGGGCTTTTTTTTTTTTTGCTGTTTTCATTCTATTTGTTCAAGTTGTGTAGCTAATGTTTTGATTCTGTCCCTTTCTTCTTTTTTGATGTGTCCATCTATCAGCATAAATTGTCCTCTGAGGACTGCCTTTGCTGTATCTCAAAGGTTTTGATATGATGTATTTTCATTCTTGTTTGATTCTAGGAATTTTTTTTCCTTTTTTTAAAATTGTGCTTTAAGTGAAAGTTTACAATTCAAGTTAGTTTCTCATACAAAAATTTATACACACATTATTATGTGACCCTAGTTGCTCTTCCTATACTGTGACAGCCAATTCCTCCTTTCCACCCCAGACTTCCTGTGCCCTTCAACCACCTCCTGACCCTCTCCGCCTTCTCATCTCGTATCTGGATAGGAGCTGCCCATTTAGTTTCATGTACCTACTGGAGCTAAGAACCACACTCTTCATGAGTAGCATTTTATGTCCCATAGTCCAGTCTAACCTTTGTCGGAAGAGTTAGCCTCGGGAATGGTTTTAGTTTTGGGCTAACAGAGAGTCTGGAGGTCATGTCTTCCAGGGTCCCTCCAATCTCAAAGCATTAAGTCAGGTCTTTTTACTAGAATTTGAGTTCTGCACCCCATATTTCTCCTGCTCCATCAAGGACTTTCTGCTGTGTTCCCTGTCAAGGTTGTCATTGGTGGTAACTGGGCACCATCTACTTCTGGTCTCAGGCTGATGGACTGTCAGGTTTATGTGGCCCTTTCTGTCCAATGGGCTAATATTTTCCTTGTGTCTTTGGTGTTCTTCATTCTCCTTTGCTCCAGGTGGGTTGGGACAAATTGATGCA